CCCCCCCTGCAGCGCGGCGCCCAGCGCGCCCACCTCCAGAGGGTCGCCCAGCGGCGTCCCCGTCCCGTGCAGGGCCAGGAAGGCGAGGCGGTCGACCTCCGCCGCTGCGCGGCGCAGCAGCGTCGCGACAAGTGCCGCCTGCGCCGGGCCGCTGGGCGCGGTGAGGCCGGCGCTGCGCCCGTCCTGGTTCACGCCCACACCCAGGAGGATGGCCAGGGGCGGCGTGGAGCCGGGGGTGCTTCCCTCGACCTTCTCGTCTGTCGGGTGTGAGTCCTCGCCCGCCCAGGCCACCCCCCCCAGCACCAGGACGACAAACCCCTCGCCGCGGCCGTAGCCGTCGCCCGCAGCGTCCAGTGTCAGGCAGCGCGCGGCGGGGGACAGCGCGCCCATCCCCGCCACGCTGGCGGAGGTGGCGCCTAGGAGCAGGGCGTTGACCCCGGCCACCACCCCTGCGCGCACCTCGCCCAGCGCCAGCGCGGCGTGCGCAGCGTGCACCGCCACCAGGCTGCTGGAGCAGGCGGTGTCGTTGGCCAGCGCCGGGCCGCGCAGGCCATGGGTGTAGGCCACCCGCCCCGCCAGGTAGCTCAGCCCGCTGCCGGTGATGGCCGCGGGGGAGAGGGGCAGGCCCGCGCCGTGCAGCACCTGCAGGAACTCGGAGTACATGCAGCCGACGTAGGTGCCCCAGGGCGCGGCGGCGGGGGAGGCGGGGTTGGGGGGGTGGGCTGCGTGCAGCGCCGACGCGCTTTCCTCAAGCAGAATGCGCGCCTGGGGGTCCATCGCGCCGGCCTCCTGCCCCGCCAGCCTGCATGGCGGGGGGGGGGGGAGGGATTTAGTCAAGGGGGTTTTATGGGGAAGCATCTGATGAGCAGGGTGCCGAGTAGCAGATGCGCCTGCTCCACTGAATGCATGGTGAGGCAAGAGTTGCTCAGCCGGCTCCTGGCGAGCACAAAGTGAAAGCCGAGAATAGAACGGCCAGCTCCACCCACCCCACCTGAATGCCTCGGCGTCAAAGGCGTCGATGCCGTCCAAGAAGATGCCATGGCGGACGTACATGCGGCCCGGTGGGGACGGTACCGCGGGGTCGTAGTAGAGCTCCACATCCCACCTCTGTGGTCGGGCGTTATGGAGGGAGGGAGTCGCTGCTTCAGAAAGACGCACGCTCTCAATCTGTGTGCTATTCCAAGCAGCTCTGAGAATCAGGATGGTGCATTGCAGAGACCGCACCCAGGTATCCTCGCCTGGAGGGGAATGGGCGTGACCAGGTTCCGCCCGTCGAGCAGTGTCCCCCGGAAGGCGGCCATGCCAGAGAGCAGCGGGTCAGCACCAGGGAACCTGCCCGCGGTCGACCAGACGGCGGTTGTAGGGGGTGCCCCAGGGACTGATGGTGGCGAGATGTGGGATGGGAGCGCAGGCTGCCGGTCCTGGGAGTGGACCTCGTCGACGGCTGAGGCATCCTCAACCGGCCCGGTGGAGGGGTGAGCATCCTCATATGTGGGCATCTCAGGGACTACATTGTTCTGCGTGCAGACCCATCAGGATGAGACACTGTGAAATAAGCAGTCATTGGAAGGTGCACGATGCCAGACTTGATTCCCCATAACAGCAAATGTGACCCTGACAGCAACAACCGTACACGAAGCCCCTGCTACAAACCTCCTTCTCTCTCCTGCACAGACCTCTGTCATGATTGACTGGACGGTCAAGGGACCTGGTCCCCAGTCTGGGACGGTCCGCCCCACCTCTATCAGCTCAGATACGATGAAGTCCCGCATGCTGTCCCTGGTGGGGTAGTCAAAGCTGGCTGTGGCGGGGAGGTCCAGCCCAAAAGCGCCAGCCAGGTCGTTCCTCAGATCGACGGCGCCTTGATTGTTGTTGTGGGGCGGCGGCTGGTGTTGACAACCATGGAGCATAGCCAAGCAAGAAGTTGAAGCGGGTGCTCCCTCGAGCCATTGTTTCAACTGTGAATGCAACCATGCACACCAATACCATCAGCAAACCCACCCCTGCCCTCCCACCTAGGGAGTCCAGGCCTGCTTCGGCAAATGGCTGATCCGCTGGTATGGCTGCACCGAGCAGCTTCTCCACGACCATCTGCACAGTCGAACTCACAGCATCCTCCAAGCTGGGGCCAGCGGGGTCCTCTGGCAGCATGGCAGGAATGGCAGGCTCAGGCTCTGAGCGCCGTGCTCGAAGGCTGGGAGGGGATGCTGTTGCATCAGGAATGCCAGCTGGCGCCGGTCTGATGCTTGCCGTCGCAGGCTGCGGAGGTGGTGTCGGCATTGGGCATGGACAGCTGCCACAGCCTGGCCATGCACGCCCACACAGCCTGCGTCCCTCATCACACCCATTCTCACACCATCCCTCACCCTGAGCTCGAAGCTGGAAAGGGTGACATCACTCTGTCCCAGAGTGATGTCTGCAAGCACAGCGTCCAGAAGCTGGGCCTGGCCCCGGCCCGTCGCCCATCCAGCATGTGCGTCCCCCGACCGTGGCGGGCCAGTCCCAGCTGAGGCGGTGGAAAGCGCGGCCCGGATGCCCACCGGCATCAGCAGCCCCCCGGGCTTGCCGTGCACGGGCCGGGGCAGGCTGCTGAGGACATGGGTGGCGGCATCCAGGCGGGCGGGGTGGCTGAGGGCGCTGCCATCCGGCTGGCAGCTGGTGTGCAGCCGCTGTCCGTTCTCGTGCCTCTGCCCAGCATCCTCCAGGCGGCCCACTGCCGCCGCGCCGCCTGCCGTGCTCCCTCCCCCACCCGTCCCAGGAAGGACGGCCTCGAGGAGGGCGGAAGCGGTGGCCACGAAGGCGTCAAACATGCGCTGCTGCAGCGAGGGGCGGGGGGGCGCCCGCGCACGAGCCGCAGCCAGGGCGGCTGCTCCGCGCGCCTCCAGCGCCCTCCCTTCCAGGGGATGGTGGAGCGAGTGGATCGGGTTTCATGTTCTCCTGCCTGGCGCGCTGAGCTCACCGGACAATGGTATGCATTCGTATGCACTTGTCTGATGGACTCTCTGACATGCTTTCGGTCAAATGCTCAAGCACTGGCCTCCCCGATTCCATGGAAACCTCTCCCTCCGCATCAAGCAAACCCTACAAACAAAAACAACCCTAGCTCACCAGCCTGGCTCGTGGCGTGAAGCTGGGTCCCGCCTCCTCCCGCCGCAGTCCTGCTGGCCAGCTGCATGCCGGCCCTGGCAACATCGACATCCACGCCCACCTCCATGCCCCCGCCCGGATGCAGCATCAAAGGAGCGCTGATGCTCAGGCGCTCCACAAAGACATTCACGGCGATACCCGCGTTGTATCCCGGCACCACAGCGGCCGCCATGCCCTCCAGCATGGCGGCTGCGGGGAGGACGCAGCGCCCTGCCACCCGGTGGTCCAGCAGGTACGCTGCCCGCGCTGCGCCAACCTCCAGCCGGAAGCGCAGCATGTTGTCTGGGCGGGGCCGGACTGAACTCGAGAGGAGCAGGGCTGCCGGCCCGAACCAGTGCCGCTCCCGCATCCAGGGCGTGGCGGAGCTTGGGGTGGGGGCGCCCTCGCCCCAGGGTCCGCGGTCCAGCACCGCATGCGCATTTGTGCCCTGGAAGGCAAAGGCGCTGACGCCGCAGGCCACGCCACCCAGGCGCTCCGCCCTGCCAGCGCCCTCCCGCGCCAGCACCGGCGCAGGCTGCCCGCGCGGCAGGTCGGCGAGGCACGCGGCCACGTGAGCGTTGACTCGCGCCAGGCCCACCAGGGGGTGCACGCTGTGTGCGCTGAGCTGGGCGGCGGCCTGCAGGAGGCCCACGGCGCCCGCGGCGGGCTCGGCGTGGCCCACCCTGGCCTTGGCGGCCGAGAGCCTGATCGCGCCGGGGAGCGCTGCGACGGCTGCGTTCACCTCGATGGGGTCGCCCAGTGGGGTGCCTGGGAGGGAATTGGAGGCGCTCGGGTGAGTGTGAGCATCGGCATGCCCAAGGATGCAGTGCGCTCCTGTCACGCTCTCCACCGAGCACGCATACCGGTGCCGTGCAGCTCCAGGCCAGCGAGCTGGGGAGGCGCCAGCCCCGCCAGCTCCAGCCCCGTGCGAATGACCCGGGTCTGGGCGGGGCCGCTGGGCGCGGTCAGGCTGGAGGAGCGGCCGTCCTGGTTCACCGCGCAGCCGCGCAGCAGGATGACGGTGGCTGGGCCGGTGCGTCTGCCGCCGTCGTCACGGGCACCCACAGGGCTGCAAAGGACCAGCGCCGCCACCGTGTCGGCTCGTACGTAGCCGTCTGCCGCCGCGTCCAGGGTCTTGCAGCGCCCATCCTGCGTCAGCATGCCTGCCGCCGCCGCGGCGGCGGAGGTGTTGCGTGCCAGCAGCAGGTTCACCGCCCCGACCAGGGCGGGGGCGCCGGGGTCTACCCGGCCCGCACCCAGGCTCAGGGCCACCAGGGCCGAGGAGCAGGCGGTGTCCAGGGAGACTGCGGCACCCGTCAGGCCCCATGAGAAGGAAATCCTCCCCGCCGCCACGCTGAAAGGCGTGGAGGTGGCCGAGGTGGCGCCCAGGGGGTGCCAGGCGGCGCTCAGCCCGCCATACTCCATCTGCTGGATGCCAACATGCACAGAGGTTGAGGTGGGGGGCTGGGACGACGTAGAGAAGAAAGCGCCACTGAAGGCCTCCTGTGTCACCTGATGGGTGGAGGTTTGGAGCGGACGGGTTTTTGAGGGCCGGCGGAGAGCCGTACTTGGGGACCAAAGTCATCACCCAGGCATTGTCTCTCAGACACATACCCCTGCACTGCTTCACTTGAGGGAGCAGGCAGAGGGGTGACCCATCCTGCATGCCCATCGCCCTCACCTCCAGGAGGAGGCGCTGCTGGGGGTCCATCAGCTCGGCCTCGGGGCGGAGCAGGCCAAACAGCCCCGCATCAAAGTGTTCAACAGGCTCATGCAGAAACCCGCCAAAGCGGGGGGCACTCATGGCCCAGCTGCTTGTACCGGCCTGTTTGGAAAGGGTTGAATATGGGGGTGTCAGCTGGGGGTTGAATCACAGTGAAGCTGGTTGGAGTCGTCCCCGGAGTTGGCAAGATTGGGATCGCTCCTCTTCAGTAGTGAGCTCCAGGATCGGTAACCAGCGTCCCAAGAGCCATAATCGGACATGCAGCGATAGTCGGGACAGAACATTACGCCGCAAGTATGAGGAAACCCAAACCCAAACAACATACCTTGGAGGGCCTGGCCTCTGCGTCCCAGCGGCTCCACGGCACCAGGCCAATGCAGTCACTGGAGAATGCCTGATGTAGTGGGCCTGGGGTGAGTGCCGCCATGGCTGCGACCCAGACAGCCTGGCCGAGAGTGCTGGCTGGATCGGAAGGTTGAGTGGGCGCAGCAATGGCTTGCCCTGCTGGCGCAGGCAGCTCCGCACCACCTCCCAGGCGCTCAGACACCGCTTGCGCGATGGATGGGATGGAGGGGAAGTCGAAGACCAGGGTGACGGGTAGCGTCAGGCCCAGGCTCTGCCCCAGCTTTGACGCCAGCTCCACCGCCGACAAGGAGTCGAAGGCTCCTGGGGCCGGGTGTTGGACGGGCAGGGGGATGAGGGCTTGACGTCGGAGTGTGCCTGACAAGCGGGCATCCCGCCACTGAGGCAGGCAGAGTTTCAGTCCACATCCCCGATTCACTCAAAACGCATTGCTCAAGCCCCGGTACCACTCCATCCAGACCTGCAGCAAACATGCCGGAGGAGGTCAGGGCGTCGGCGCCCACCACCTCGATGGCAACGCCCTGCACGAGAGCGAGCAGCTCCGTCTGCTCGATGTGAGGCCGTGGGGGCTCGCGATCGGGAACGGCTTCCTGCTGCTGGCCTGAAAAGGTATGCAGCCGTGGCTCCCCTGTCTCGCTCCGCTCGCCGGCCTGAAGCCCGTCCAGGAAGCTCCAGGGGCCCTTGATCGAGTTGACGGCGCAAAAGGTGGAGAGGCTCAGGCGGGCCACGACAGCGTCCCGGAGGCCCTGCCTCAGCACCGTCCTGAGGGCGTGCAGGATCTGCGCCGGCTCCAGCATCCCCAGCCCCACCGCCTCCATGGAAGCGCTGCGAGGAAAGCAAGGCAGAGATTGATAAAGGTCTGAGGCTGATGTGAGAGCGAACCGTGCACGATCCCACGTCCATCTGTGTGGGTAGCACCTCTGCACATCCCTCCATTTTCACCTCATGGAGGCGGCCATGCCTGCGCCAGAGAAAGGACCAAAGGACAGCGTGACCACGCGGTGTGAGGCCCTGGCCCTCAGGAAGGAGTTGGCAGCTGCGTAGTGAGCCGCGCCCGACTGGCTCCACACACCGGCCGTGGATCCGAAGAGCAGCGTCACCTCTGCATCGACGCCGGTCACCGCGCCCAGCACCTGCGTGGGGAAACAGCGATGGTCACGGTGATGCATTCTGGTTTGAGATGTAGGATTGCTGTGCCACAATAAGAATCCAAACATTCCTTGGGTACTCCTTCCCAGTCACCTTTGGCTGGGCCACCGCCAAGAAAGCGTCCCTGGTCAGGTCAGGGATGAGGTCGTAGGCCAGCACACCCGCGGCGTGGGCATACAGGGCTACAGGAGGCAGGTCCTGGGAGGCCAGCCAATGTGCCAGGTCCGCATTCTGGGCGGGGCTGGACGCGTCCTGGCTCAGAACAAAGACCTCGGTGCCTGAGGCAGGGTTGGGTTGGAGGTTCTGTTGTCACAGTGTGCAGAGGGAAGTTCAAGCTGACGCATGGGGCATTTGTGGAATCGAACGCCACCCCTTTTCAACCCTACCCTGCTCACACTCATCCCAGACATGAAGCGGGACTCACCATGCCGAGCAAAGAAGCGTTCATCCTCCTGGGCAGCCAGCTTGCCGCGCCGGCTGGTGAGCACGAGGGACTTGACCCCGGCCCTGGACAGCTGCCTGGCCAGGCGCAGGCCCAGGCCCTGCGTGCCTCCACAGACAACAGCTGTCTTGCCTTGCAGCTGGAGTTCCAGGGCGGGGTGAGGGCCGGCAGGAGTCACGTGGCGCCGCAGGTGCTCGGAGAAGAGGCGGCCGCTTGCAACCGCCAGAACGTACTCCGTCCCCCGCCCAGCCGCCATGACTGCCCGGAACTGGGCGGCTGTGACCCCGTCCCCCAGGTCCAGGGTCACGCCGTACGAGCCCCTGTCCTCCATGAACTGGGTGCGTGCGACCCCTAGGGCTAGCGCCTGATGCGCGGCTGCCTCTGAACCAGCGGGTCCCAGCAGGCCCTGGCTGACCAGGCTCAGGCTGTGCCTCTTGGCGGCAGAGCCCAGCGCACAAAGCGCGGCCGCCGTGTACGCCCAGGCCATGCTGGCGGCGTGGAGGCAGGGCTCCGGCGCTGGAGGCGCCAGGACCAACACAGCTTGTACCTTGCTGGAGGAGAGGAGGGCATGCAGGCCTGCCTCGGTGCTGACGACGAGCTCTGTGTTGCGAGGGGGCAGCCACCCTGGCGCAGCTGTCTCCTGGCAGCGCGTGACGCCCAGCATACAGCCACGTAGTTGTTGCAGGCCGGCGGGTAGCGTCATGGAAGGTGTTGCATTATCTCCAGAAGTGTCTTGTGCGATGGAGAGCGCCAGCCAGCGAGCAGAGTGATCACTGCGGCAGGGAGGGTAGGATTGAGTACATACATGTGGGCAGGATGTGGAGATGACACTCTATGGGAACCTGAAATCTCCCCGCCGTACCTATCTTGCGGCCAGTCAACCGGAGACCACTCTGTCGTGTAGAGCAACTCAGAGAGGGAGTCCTGACCGCCCCTGACAAGAGGCTCGGAACAGCCTCCCCTGAGCCTACATCCAGGCAGGGTAGCAGCGTCCAAACCCGCCTGCATGCTCGCCCAGCTAGATGTGTCTCCAGCAAGCTCTTCTGGCAGCAGGGCGTCCAGTGCGGTCAAGCCATGGGGGCAGTGACCAGGCTGACCCAGGGCAACAAGCGTGTCCAACGTCCTCCATGATGTACAGGCGCTGCTGTCCTGCTTGCCGCTCTCGGCAAGGTGGCAAGTGAGGTTCACGGGGAGTGCCTCCTTCACCACTCCATGCAGCAGCAACTCAGGCAGAATGGGTGACCCCTTGCGGCAGGAAAGATCGTAATCAGGGTCCACACGCTTGCAGGATTTGCCTCTCCAGGGCCCAATCTGCTGCATTGCTCCTGCTAGTAGAGCTACATCATTTCGGCCAGCGGCCGCCACGTTCACCGTGGCGGTAAGAAAGTCCACCCCCACTTCAATACTCGTTGCCAAGGAGTCGAAGGTGGTGGGCAGCGAGATGGATCGAAGACCTGTCCTGCCTGCATTTGTTGGAGTGGCATAGGGCCTGAGCACCATGAGCGCTGCAGAAGCCAGGCCGATGACGATGCCCGGGAGGAGGATGCTCCCTCCCTCAAAGCTGCTATCCGCAAAACTCCAGCTGGGGCTCAGGTAGGCATGGAAGGAGGCTGCTCGTGAGCTGGAACCAATGCTGGCGACGGTGAGCCATGGGTGGGCTGCAGGCGACACCCACACTCTCTGGCGCTGCCATGGAATGGGCGGCAAAATTGCTTCAGTATCCAATGCAGTGCCCGATGGTGCGTCCAGCAGCACATGAGCATTGGTTCCCTGCCATGTAGAAAGGGTGGTGGCAGGATATTTGATACCATGAGACAGGACTAACATTCGGGTTGCATGCACATGAAGAGTGATTTAACTCGAAGCCCACTTTCATACACTATCAAATTACCCCCTGACAACTAGCCTGGAACGCGAATGCGGACACTCCCGCCACCCTCGCGCCCTCCCTCCGGTTCAGGGGAGCCTCCTGACGGGGCAGGAGGAACGCACGGCGGCCGACGGCTCCCTGCACATGTGGGTTTAGCTCGCGGAGGTGGGTGAGCGCGGCGTAGGCGCCGCGCTCCATCTGGTCCAGGGCGTGCAGCACCCCCGTGCTGCCGGCCGCCGTCTCCCCGTGCCCCACGCGCGACTTGGCTGCCGTGAGGACCGGGCCGGCGCGGGCCGGGATCAGGCCGGCCAACGCCCCCAGCTCGATGGGGTCGCCCAGCGCGGTGCCCGTGCCGTGCAGCTCCACCGCCGCCAGGCTGGCCGGGGTCAAGTGGGCGGCGCCCAGCGCGGCGCGAACCACGGCCACCTGAGCGGGGCCGGAGGGCGCGGTGAGGGCCGAGGACCGCCCGTCCTGGTTCACCGCCGTGGCGGCCAGCAGGCATGTGTTGCCAGGGGCGCGGCCGAGGACTGCGCTGAATTGCGAGCCCAGGCGGAGCATGGAGCAGCCCTCGCCGCGGACGTACCCGTCCCCCGCGGCATCCAGGGTCTTGCAGCGCCCATCAGCAGCCAGCATGCCTGATGGTTTTTGTGGGGAGGGGCGGGGGTAAAGTGGTTGTGTGCCCGAGTCTCCAAAGAGCAAGACCTCGAGCCCAACCAGCAACCCAGCACAGCCTTCCCACCAGTGATGGCAAAGGCTGCGGTCCTCAGGGGAGTCAGGGTGAGGCTGACCCCCGCCGCCAGGGCCTCCTCGCTGTCCAGCGACCTCACGTCCTGGGCCGCAGCATGCAGGGCTACCAGCGAGGAGGAGCAGGCGGTGTCGATGCACTGGGAGGGCCCGTGCAGGTCGAAAACATACGACAGCCTGCGGGTTTGGGTCGGTGTGGATGAGCAGCTGGGGAGGTTGGGGTGCAGATGGGAACTGCGCGGAAATACATGCATCAACTCTCACGCTGGCTTTAAAATCACAATGTTACCTTCCGGCTGCGACACTGCTGGCTCCCCCGCTCGCAAAGTAGAGGGTCAGTGCCTGTCGGGCAGTGAGATCCAGGTAATCCACGGCCCCTATACCCACGGCAATGGCGGTGCTGGGCAGGAGAGCGCGGCAGGCTGACAGCTCCGCGGCGCAGTCCAGGAGCAGCCGCTGCTGGGGATCCATGCTCGTGGCCTCCGACCTGGTGGGTGGGGATGTGGGACTCCAGTGGTGTAGAGCACAGTGCGACGAGAGGTCACAGCCACCACAAGGGTCGGAGATAAAAATTTCACCCTCCTTGAATCTGCACAATCCAATCATGCTCACCATTTGACGCCGTACAGCCCAGGGTCAAAGAGGTCTGCCTCCGGCAAGATGGCCCCAAAGCGGGCCTCCAAGCCTCTGGGTGGGTTGGACACATACTGGTCGACATCCCACCTGCTCAGCGGCATCACTGCAGAGCACAGGTAAGGGAGGCGAATGGAGTACTGACGCATGTTGTAAAGATCACAGCGTCTGAGTCAAGCCAGCAGCGCCCTGGAGTAAAGACAGAGGGCCATTGCAATCATATGATGCCGCCGTGGCCTCTGACTGAAGCCGTACCTGTAATAGCATCCTCTGGGAATCGACCAGAGGAAGACTGCCAACCGCTTTCTGGAGCCGGCACATGACCAGCATGGTCCAAGATCAGAACAACCTGTGCGCATGCGAGGCAAGATGGCGTTACTAATAGGTCTTGAGATTGTAAACGGGTCGACCTGAAAAGTCAGGGAGTCGCTTCTCAGAGACAACAGCCCTGAAACCTATATTGAAGAGAGACCTGATCATGTCAATCATGATCTTAAAGCCATGTCAAACTCCGCTGCCTTACCACTTGACTGCCCGCGGTGAGGTTTGCTGCAGGTGTCAGACGGCCATCAGGAGTTGGCTGCACGTCCTCCATCGTTTCCATGTCCCCATCGTCTTCCTCATCGCCAGCCCCCAGTGGCAGCATCAGGGCATCGATGTGCTTTGCCAAGGCAGCCGGGGTCCCATGGTCAAAGACCAGGGTGGCTGGAAGCTCCAGTCCGGTGGCGGTCGCCAGGGAATTTCGCAGCTCGACCACCCCCAGCGAGTCCAGCCCCGCCTCCATCAGGGGCTGGTGTGGGGCTGGCAAGGTGCCTCCCACCAGCTCCTGGACAGCGTCTAGGATCATCGGCAGGGTGGAGGCGGCCCGATGGGTAGGCCCAGGGCCATGTGCTTGACGAGTGGTGGGCGTCATTGCCTGGGAAGGTCCGGAGACCGGGCTGCTCTCCTCTGGAGCCATCTCCTGGAAGAAGAAGGGTACCTGGCCCCTCGGGCCCTGCGAGCAACCAGGGTGCACTCATGTGTTGGGAGGAGCTGGACTTGCTAGGCTTTGGCTATTCAACGCTCGCATTTCACATCCTGCAGTGCAACCCAGGCAAGTGATCTGCTGCTTCACCGTGCATCTACTTCCGCGTTATCAGACCTGTGCACACCCACCTTGAGCAGGGTCCCCCAGATGACAGGCACGGCTGCCAGGACCGGCATGGAGACCGAACCCAGCAGCCTCAGGCTGGACTCCAGCACTCCCAAGCCCTGTGCGGGCGTCAGCAGCAGGAGGCCGGTGCGCGTGGGCACGCTGCCTCACCACCTCGTCGGCGGCCATGCCAATCTCCCAGGCGCCCCACTGCAGCGCGGAGGCCTGCACCCCCGCGCCAGCCGCCACTGCCGCCCAGGCCTCCAGCCCCGCGTTGGCGGCGGCGTAGGTGGCCTGGCCGGGCGCGCCAAACAGCGCCGAGGAGGAGGAGTAGAGCAGGAGGCGGTCGAGCGGCTGGAGCGCCGTGAGCCGGCCGTGCATGCTTTGCGCGCTGAGCAGCTTGGGGGCCGCCGAGACGCGGACGGCAGCGACACCCTGCCGCGCCAGCACGCCGTCGGTCAGCACGCCGCCGGAGTTGACGACAAGGCCCAGGTGGCGCAGGTGCTGCAGGGAGGAAAGCGCGGCCGCGTCCGCCGACGCTGCGCCGTCGCCCGCCACCATGGACACTAGGGAGGAGGAGGAGCGGAGAGCGGCTCCGTGGGTCGATCGTGGCGCCAGCCTGCGATTATATTGTAGAGTGGGATGACATGGGAGAGGGTTTGGGGCCTTCATTGTGCAGTCAGTGTCCTCCACACCTGGCGCCAATCGCACCTGGCGCTGCGTCCCAGCAGCACGACGTGCCACGCCTCCTTCTTGAGCAGCCACGCGCCGGTGAGCGAGCCCAGCGCGCCCAGTCCGCCGGTGACGAGGCAGCTCCCGTGCTCTGTAGTCTGTTGCACGACAGGGTATGGGGGCAGAGTGTGATGTGGCATGTGAGGGTCTCAAATCCTATAGAGGGCCGCTGTTCAAACCACTGCACACTCTTGACTCAGACGTCGCAGCAGACACGGCGGTATACTCCGCTCACCTTGATGCCAGGGTTCTGGACCACCACCTTCCCCACATGCTGAGAGAGGGAGAGCTGCCTCAGAGCCGTTGCCGTCTGGGACAGGGTGTAGGCTGTGCACGGAAGGGCTCTGAGCTCCCCCCTGGCAAGCAGTGCAGAAATGCCCAGGAGGCATCTGCCCAGGACCTGCGAGGTGGCAAGGGACAGCGGCATCTCATCAACAATGGGCGCTGCGAGTATGGTGTGCGCTCGTGCAAACGGAGCAGCGTGAGGGCATGCTCCGCCAACAGCAAACCTGTGGTGGGAGAAAGTCAATGGCAACCGTGCTGAATGCCACGTCTGGTCGCTCCTGCCCGATGCGGCTGGCGGCGTGGATGTCACGCTTCCCGACCTCCACAAAGCTGCCTCCCCTGGCCAGGACAGAGAGGGAGGCCGCTGTCATGCCTGTTCAGGAGCATGGGGTGGGATTTGTGATTCACGTGCAGTGAGGGCACTCCGTTCAAGCACGGGAGTTGCTGTGCGAGGGACCTGCGCCATGTGTGCAGACTACATCCCATTGTGAGCAACCGTCCCAAATCACATCCTGAATGCATCAGTCCCACCAGAACGCCCAACACATCCACCGGAGCATGACCTGGAGAGGTGAGCGAGTTCAGGACCAGGCTGACGCTCCCCACCACGACTGCAAGGTCCTCTGCAAAGGTGGTGGACCTGGAGTCCAGGCAGACCGCCCTGCCCTCCAGCATCCCCCGCAGCCTGGCGCGTTTGGCCGGCGTGCCGGTGGTGCAGCTCAGGACTTTGCACCCCAGCCCTGATGCCAGGGAAAGGACTGCGAGGCCCACCCCTCCCGTGGCAGCGTGCACTAGAACCTGGTGGGGGGAGGTCGTGGGTGAATAGGGTGTCTGCGCATAGTGGCACATACAATGCACCCATTTACCCGGGGTGAGACGCCCTCCTCATGCAACATTACTGCATCACATCGCCTCGCATGGCCCCCATTCCGGTCCAGCACCCACCCTGGAGTGAGGCCCGCAGGAGGCTGCCTGCTGCAGCGCCAGCATTGCTGTGATGAAGACGGTGGGCAGCGCAGCACCGGTCTGGTAGGATACTGAAGGCGGGAGCGGGGCAACCAGGTCTGCCAAGACACGCACGCTGTGACCCAGGCAGCCAGGCGCCAGCCCGAAGACGCGGTCCCCGGGCCTGAGCCCACCGCCGCCGCCGGGATTGGACAAGACCACGCCCGCGCAGTCCGCTCCCGGGTCGCCGGGGTCGCCGGGGTACATGCCCAGCACATTCAGCACGTCCCTGAAGTTCAGGCCCACCGCCCTCACGCCAATCTACGATGGAGAGGATTGGAAATGGCAATTCTGTTGGCGTTGTGGGGAGTGCTGTCTGCCTTGCTTATGCAGTAACAGGCTTGGTCTCGATGGTAGAATGAGCCGGCCTGCCATTCGCCATCATTCTCTGCACGATATCAGATATCTCTGCACACCCCTGCGCACCTCTATGTGGCCACACTCCACTGGCTCCATGCTGCTGGCAATAGGGACCCATCGCAGGGAGGACAGGGAGCCGCGGGGCTGGGGAAGGAGCCGTGCCTCGTGACCAGGAGCGTGATGCAGAGCCTGCTCAACCATGGGGAGCAGTTTGGCTCTGGACAGGGTGGCGCCCCGGACCTCGGCTCCATAAGTATCGTTCTCCATGTTGTGCTGCAGCTTGGAGGCCGAGGGTGAACTGGTAGCGCCATTCCTGTGCAGTTTCACTGCCGATATACGGGCATTCAACTCGCCGGCAGCCACCCTCGCCAGCGCGGCCATTGACTCCCAGTGCGCCGATGAGCCGGACAGGGCTAGAGAGCCAGAGCGGGCCTGCCCATCAAAGCCCTGTAGCAGCTGAAGCATTGTGGCCGAGGCAGCTACCGGGAAGGAAGGGGCTTGGAGAAGCTTAACCGCTGTGCTCTCGCCCTCCTCATGCTCCATCCATGGCTGAATCAGTACAGACAGGATGGGATTCCCCAACCGGCCGCTTTGTGCGACCAAGAGAGGGTCTGTCGCCTGGAGAAGGGCCCGGTAGGTGATGCCCTGGTTGGCCCGGGTCTGAGCCGTGGGTCCAGGTTCAGAACCCAGCTCTCTGACCCTCAGGCCGGACAAGCGACAGGCTGGGGGCCTCGCCCTGCCGGCTGGTGCTGCATCCTCGACATGGGCGAGGTCGATGGAATCCTTCGCCTCAGCTCTTGCCAGGAAGAACAGGGCGCCGCAGCCATGCACGCCAGACCGGCCGCCCAGCTCACAGGCGTCCAGCCCAACTGGCACGCGCAGGGAGGAGCTGCGGGGTGCCCCCGCCGCTGGCAGCTGCAGCGAGCAGTCTGTCGCGGCGGGGTGGCTCAAAGCGTAGTTGGCCGACTGGGCTGGTGGCTGAACGGTTGCCATGCAGGCAGGGGAGCTGCGACCCGTGGCAGGGTCAAGGAGGAGGCCAAGGTTCAGCACTGCAAGGTATGCGGCGCCAGGCTGGCCGGCGATGTGAGAAGCTCTGTCACCGGCTTGATCGACGGCAGCTGCCACACCAGGCCCTGCCCGTCCCCGGGAATGGATCCGAACAAGGCCATTCACCGCCGCCACTGTGCACAGGTCCAGCTCGCCGTGCTTGGACACCCGCAGCCTGTGCTTGCCGGCCGCGGCGTGTGTGCCCAGATGGAGCGCCTCCAGCACTGCAAACCCCGTGAACAAGGCCGCCCCCCAGCGCAGCGTGCCCAGCGCCGCTGCGCAGGCCTCCAGCATGGCGGCGGCGGGCGCCAGCGTGTGGCCGTGCACGACGTGGTCCCGCAGTGTGGCGCCCAGGCTGGGGCCTTGAAGATCCAGCTCAAACGCGCAGCAGGCGCTTGCGGAGGGTTCCGCTGACACGGCCCTGCGCAACACAAAAAAGGCGGGGGCCAGGGTCCATTGCTTCGCCTGCAGCCTTACCACGCCTGCCGGCGTGCCTGAAAATTGGGGACAGGACAGAGGGTGGGCAGGCATGTTTGAGAGAGCCTTGACATGGGCATGGCGCATTTGGGAATCCCTCATGATCGCTCAAGACGGGAGGTGCACAGAGCATTTTGACGGGGACCTTTGCTGGGGGGCAGGCTCAAGAACCTGGATGGCACCCATTGTGAGGCAGAGCTGACATGTTCTCAGGGAGGACCTGGCCAATCTGCAGCGGACCACCCCCTCCTACTCTCTCCCAGAATTTCTCACCGCCTGCGCTCGGAGTCAGGCCCTCCTGGGCGGCCTCTGTCCACTCAAATATGGCGTGTGCATTCACGCCGCTCATCCCAAACGCGCTGGTGCCCGCCAGGGGCTGGTGCAGTGGCGCCGGCGCCAGCTGGCGAGGGATGCTGGCCAAAAGGCCGTGCCTCCGGGGCCAGTCGCCAAAAGTCGTGCCCACGAACGGATTCATGTCGCGCAGGTGCAGGACGGGTGCCGCCGCCTGTTGCATGGTGTGGAGGCATGTAGAGTGAGATGACGCACTGCCTTTGCACGAGGTGTACAACGCTGGGCCATCTTCCTGCCTGCCATCGGGCAGTCTGTCAAGTCAACCCGCAGCAGCATGCAGTGAAGACTTGTCCACTGACTTTGTCTGACAGCGCGCACAGGGCCTGCAGTGCGCCGGTCAGGCCAGCAGCGCCCTCCGTGTGGCCATGGCAGGACTTGGTGGCGCCCAGGGTCAGGGGCCCTGAGTCCAGGCTCCGCGCCGCCGCCGCCCCCAGTGCGCCCATCTCGATGGGGTCCCCAAGGGGCGTCCCGGTACCGTGCACTGCCACGTATGACAGGTCATCCCCGGCAAGACCTGGAAGGTTGGTCGGGGGGCGTCGAGCGGTTTGTAAATGTTGACAAACATGGGGCTAGAGGAGCCTGCACTCCTGAATGGCCGCTGTAAGGTCTCCAGGGACCAGGCGATGAAAGTGATTGCAATGTCTTACACCACCCTATCCTCCTCACTCCTGCATGGTAGCTGCACCTGCAACATCCAGGGCCTTCCGGACCAGCGCAGTCTGGCTGGGCCCATGCGGTGCAGTGAGTCCGCTGGACCTCCCGCCCTGGTTGACCGCCGTCCCGACCAGGTAGGCCAGGGGCGCCCCGGTTTCCTCCCCTTCACCCATCGGCGCCAGGACCAGCAGCGCACAGCCCTCCCCCCGGCCGTACCCGTCGCCCGCTGCGTCGAAGCTGCGGCAGCGCCCCACGGGGGAAAGCGCCCCCAACTGGCTGATACCTGTGGCAGTGCCGGGCAGCAGCATGAGGAAGACGCCGGCGGTGGTCGCCAGCTCAGCCTCCCCGCCCAGCAGCCCCGTGTGGGCAAGGTGGGTGGAAACCAGGGAGGAAGAGCAGGCGGTGTGCGTGCTGATGCAGGGCCCGGTCAGGCCAAAAACGTAGGACAGCCTGCCGATCAGGAAGTCCATGCCGTTGCCGGCGGTGACGGCAGGGCCCACACCCAGCCCTGCCGAGGCCAGGGTGGCCAGGAACTCCATGTGCATGACGCCGACATACCTGGGCATTATCGAGTTTGGTGGTGGGGGTTCTGAAGTATGTTGCGGGAACATCAAGGCACCTGTAGCTGCAGGTTTTACACAACTTGAAGTCATTGTCACAGCACCACAGGCACTGTGCTGAAATGACCTCCCACGTCACCCTTCCAGACTTACACCCCGCAGTTGAGACTGAGGCTGGCTGCAGATCGCCCAGCAGCTTGGCTCAGGCCTTCCTGTGTCTGCTCCAGGAGGATTCTGGCCTGCGGGTCCATCACCGAGCTCTCGGCATGGCCAAGCCTGCGTGTTCGGGTTGTGATGAGTGTGATGGGAGTGGGGGTGCTGGCGAGATGCAGGTGTAGATATGTTCTTTCTGGTGCAGGTGTCTTGCCCCAGACTCATGCAGCGAGGTGTGTCAGCACCACACCTGAAGGCATCCGCGTCAAAGTCCTCCAGTCCAGACAGGAAGGCTCCGAAGCGGACGTTCATTCTGCCAACTGCACACGTGTGGATGGTAGGCTAGGTTTTTGCTCCAGGATCAAGTGCCAGCATCCTGGTATTCCTCTGCCTATGTAGAGCAGAGACAGCGCAGGCAGGATACCTCCCTGTCCTCACCAGAGATTTCCGGGCTGTAGTATGCCTCCAGGTCCCAGCGAGCCAGAGGGACTGGCGTGGGAAGGTCCTGGCCGCCTTGGGCCGCGGATCTGTAGCCGTCCAAACCCTGGCCCTCGCCGCCGGGGTAGCACCCTGCCACCCCCAGCACACTCGTGCAGCTGTCCTGCAGCTGCTGCCCAGGGGCATTTGAAGCCGGCGCAGGGTGTGCAGTCACACCCATGCTGCCCTCCGGTGCCACCTCGGCCGCGACGAACTCGGCGAGCGCAGCCGGGGTCGGGTAGTCCATGGCCAGGGTGACGGGCAGGTCAAGGCTGAAGCGGGTGGAAAGCATGGAACGGAGCTGCACTGCTCCGAGTGAGTCCAGCCCAGCGGCCATGAGGGGGGAGTCCGCGTCGAGGGTGGCCCCCGTGATGGAGGCGGCAGCCTCTATCACGGCCTGAAGGCAGTCTGTACCACCTTCCTGGGGCGGAGCTTGAGCGGCTGGCTGCTGCTCATCACCGCCTCGGTTCCGCTCACCCGCAGCGGCGGGGTGCAGAGGTGCCCCAGCGTCGCTTCTCAGCGCCGCAGCGATGTGGCGAGCGAGGTCCCGGGGCGTGGGGTAGTCAAAGGTGGAGGTGGGCGACAGATCCACCGCGGGGAAGGCGAGGCCCAGGCTGGTGCGAAGCTGTGTGGCACCTGGAGGAGCGAGGGGGCATGGGAGATGGAGCTATAGCTTAGGGTACCCTCCTGGGCATTTTCTCTGCAAGGTTGCACCGGCTTTAATCTAAAGTCCCGACCCTCTGCAGCACCAATGCTCTGGAGAGGTGCATCCACTGCAGTGGGCACAATCTCAACAGGTTGCCCTGTGCCTCACCAAGGGAGTCGAGCCCAGAGTCCATGAACGGAGAGCTGGCATCCGCTGCAGCACCCAAAGCTGCCAGGGAGGAGAGGATCACCTCCAGCACAGCACTCTCATCTGTGCCGTCTGGACCCATGGGCTGGCGGGGTGCAGCTGCGGCGCTTCTGGCAGACCGGACCCCCTGCACTCCACCACGGGCCCTCCTCCCTGCCATCCGCCTGATGGGTGAAGTGGCAGCAGCTGCCACGCTCCCCACCCGTCCAATCCTGCAGTGTATGAGGGTGAATGGAGGGTCTACACCATGCTCATGTGGGTTGAAGGGTCCAAGGTGGTCAGAGGTGTCTAGCACTCAAAGTCAATGGTGCTGATGCCTTCTTGCAACCAGGTACATTTGTCTCGCCACGTCGTGTCCTGCAGCACCCACCCATATTCCCTTCACCCACTCACTCTGTCGACTGAATGAACTCCTGGAAGATGGGGTCCACTGTCGTCATGCCCCTGGCGATGTTCTTCCAGAGGAAGACATTCACGGTGAGGCGACGTGGGGCCCCGACAGCAGAAGTGCCAGAGGAGGTCTGGCCGAGCAGTGCCGCCATGGCGGCGAGGCCCTTGCCGGGGTCGATGGTGCCCAGCCCCATGCGCTCCATCGCAGCGATGAAGGCGGGGTTGCGGGATGCCATGCCTCCGCCGCCCCAGTTGCCCCACTGCACGCAGAGGGAGGGCCTCCCCCTCTCCTGCAGCTCCCCCGCGGCCCCCTCCACGGCCTCATTGGCCGCGGCATAGCTTCCCTGGCTGGCGGCTGCGCTGAAGGCCGCCAGAGACGAGAAGAGCTGCATGCAGGTCAATGGGGAGGCAAGCGTGGAGGCAGTCATGTTGTGTGCCCCCGAGACCTTGCCTGCGATGGGTTGTTGGGATAATGGGTGTGATTTATTGCTCTGACCTTTGGAGTTGGCAATATGCTGCTGAAGTGCAGACCCACTCCTGATGTGCTCTAACTATCCAGCAAGCATGCCACGTGGGAGACGAGCACTAGCAGCACGAGTGGAACACCCCATCGAATGTCCCACCTCCATGTTCCAGGCGCATGCTGCCCAGGGTGATGGCAGAAAGGGTCTTTGGGTCGAGAACGGCTCCAGCATGCGCAAAGCTCTGTGGATGCTCGGATGCGGAACGGTGGCACGGCATCATGGGACATCGAATGCGGCAGCTGCAGTCAATGTGCAAGATGTCTAAACCAGTACCACTGTGACATGCAGACGGCAGGAATGCCCATCTGTCTTCGCGTCGTCCAGTCTCTCACCTGGATTGGGGATCTGGCAGTTGAGCCCTCTAGCAGGTCCACCAGAGCTGCCACCTCCGAGGCCGCACTCATGTCGGCCCTGACGGCCTGCACCACGGCAGCACCGCGCATCAGCCTCCCGGAAAAGACCGTCTCCGGCCCCGCCCTGCCGCTCCTGCCCAGCAGGGCCACGCTGGCCCCTGCCCCGCCGGCGCTGCTCAGCCACAGCGCGTACAGCATGCCGAGGGAGCCCAGGCCGCCCGTGACGACGCCGCCTCCCGTCAGGTGGTCCACCCGGCTCACATGCGGCGTAGGCGGCGAAGGTTCCGGCTCGCGCACGACCAGGCGTGGGAGCGCCAGCTTGGCCGCCGCCTCCCGCGAGCCAAAGGTGTTGCCAATCCCGGCAGGCTTGGATGCGTTCCGGCCAGGGTGCGGCCGGATGAAGCTCAGCTCCGTGCTGTCAACCGCGCACCCCGGCACCTCCTGGGGCAGGAGCCTGAGGAAAGCAGGGACGCAGGAGGGTGCCCTGTCAACCCCACGCCTGCCCACCGGCGCGTCACAGCCGCCCCAGGTCTGGGCAGAGGCGCGCTGGAGCCTGCCTGCAGCAATGCTGGCCTGCACCGCCTGCACCGCAACCGCGCACTGCACGAGGCTGCTTGTGGAAGAATGGGCCGCCACAATGTTCCCTGTAGCAGCCCTGTGACCCTGTCCCAACTGTGGTGGAGGGTTGGTGGGTTGGAATACGGTGAGTCAAATAGGGTCGATTGCGATGAGGGACACTCCTTAACTCTGCCCTTCAGGAAATGTCTTGCGGCATGAAGTCTCATGAGGTCCCTGACAGGTGTCCAGCTGAATCCCCTTCCCCCTGAATTCCAACCTGCAGCTCTGCTGTGATGCTCTGCGGTGGCCCTGATGCCACTTCTCGCCCAGCTGCAGCCTTTGGCACGAGCTGGAGGACCATGACGGTCTCCGTGCGCCTTGCGCGGCCGACTTCGCCACCGACACCTTGCGAAACCTGCCAGTCCGTCTCATAAATCAGCCTGCTGCGGTCCGGGTCTGTGCCACCCGCCACGCCCGACAGATCGATGGGCCGGGCCAGTAGTCCCTCCACGCTAAGTGCCAGGGGCTGGATGCTGTGGTCAGTGATGACAGTGCCGTCTGGGGTCATGGGGGCGCGTCGCCCCGTGACCCAGGCTCCCGTTGTCATGGCAGGGCCCGCCTGCACGGCAGGAGGGCGGCCAGCCGCCTCCATGCCGGCCACAACTCGGGTGCGTGCCACGCTTTCCTGCACACCCACGTCTCCGGTGGCGGGGCCCAAGTGCAGGGCCGCATCTGCCAGGGCGGGGTGCACCTGCCAGGCGGGATCGATGACGGCTGTCTCGCTGGCTGCCGCCAGGCTGTGGATGTCCGGGGGGTGGTCCAGAATGCTCAGCAGCGCAATGCTTGTCAGGCCGGCCAGGAGTGCAGCGGCAGCCGTGGGAGGATTGCTGGCTGTCTCAGTGCATGCTGGCGGCCCCGTCGCAGCGGACGCCCTGCAACCGGTGGCCAGGAGGTGCAGCCTCCGCGCGGTCGCGGTGCCCTGTTGAGCAGCTGATGCCACCCTCAGTGCGCCTGTGGCGGGGTCCGCCTCGCAGGACAGCACGGAGGTTCTGACGTCCAGGGGCAGCGGGGCCGGGATGCTGACGGCGGCGAGAAAGCCGTGTGGAAGCGGGGTGCCCCTGGACCCCAGCGTGGACACCGTGGACAGCCCACACTCCAGCATGGCGGCGCCAGGCAGGATGGCCATGCCCTGGACCACGTGGTCCAGCAGGAAAGCGAGGCGCGGCGACTGCAGCCGCCCCTCCAGCCTGGCACAGGGGATGGTGAGGGGCGAGGAGGAATCGATGGGCCAGGCATCGAGAAGGTGTGCGTGGACCACTTGATTCCACTGTGTAGTTTTACCACCGACTTGTGTTCCCAGCTGTGTGGCCGTGCCGCACAACTCTTACATCCACATGCCCCTACCTGATGGAGCCCATCGCTAGGGACGCAAAGCGACACAGAATGGCGTGGGACCTCGGTAGGGGCCAGTGTCGTCTGCGCATCCAGGCGAGGTCTTTTGAAGCACCCTCCTCCAGTGCACCGGCTGCCTCAAGCAGCGCGCACGCGTTGACGCCACTCATGCCAAAGGAGCTGCACCCCGCCAGCGAGGTATGAGGCTGGTGAAGTAGCGCAGGGCCCGGCGCGTGCCCCTTCGTGTGGAAGAAAGGGGGGAGGAAGGGTGTAGCATGCAGAGGGGGGCCCTAGGTCGTGGCACGGTGGGGCACATGTGGGCGACTCAGAGGACGCCACCTACATTAGCGGCCCACAATAGCCATTGAATCCTCCACCCCCCTGGTTACGACGAATTCCCTGCGCAAACCCAGCCGAGAATGCCTTCTGCCTCCCCCTCCCTCACCCTCGGGATGATCCCCGGGCGGCGGCGCTGCGTCCAGGCCTCCAGCGCCGAAGCGACGTAGGGGTTCAGGGAGCGGGCGTGCGGGTTGGCGGGGACTGCCCCCAGGGTCAAACAGGCCAGGGCGGCCAGGGCGCCATGCAGCCCGGCGGCGCCCTCGGTGTGCCCCAGCCGCGCCTTGGCGCTAACCAGGTGCACGCCACGCGCGGGGGGCGGGTCGCCGCCGCCGCTCCCCAGGGCGGAACCCAGGGCCTGCCCCAGGGCAGCCACCTCGATGGGGTCCCCCAGCGGGGTGCCCGTGCCATGCACGCTGGCCAGCGCCACGTCAGCGCCGGTCGCCCCGCAGGCGGCCAGCGCCGCCCGCACCAGCGCGGTCTGGGCGGGGCCGTTGGGCGCGGTGAGGCTGGAGGAACGACCGTCCTGGTTGTACCCCGACCCGCGCAGGGCCGCCAGGGGGCGCGCAGTGCCATGCGAGTCACACAGGCCCAGGGTCACGACCACCGCGCCCTCCCCGCGACCGTAGCCGTCGGCGGCCAGGTCGAAGGCGCAGGACCGCCCCACCGCCGACAGCGCCGACAGCTGGGCCAGGTGGATTGGGGTGCTGGCAACCAGGCACAGGTTGGTGCCCGCTGCCAGTGCCGCGCCCGCCTCGCCCTGGAGGAGCGAGGCGCGCGCGAGGTGCGCCGCCACCAGCGAGGAGGAGCAGGCCGTGTCCATGCCCAGGCAGGGGCCTTTGGGGGGGTGGGAAAGGAGGAATGGGAAAGGTAGGATGGACAGGGGAGTGGAAAGGCTGGCCGATGTTGAATGAGGGCATGCACAGGGATCAGCAGCAGTACGGCTGGAGGACCGAGCAGCGGTGCAAAGCTGTGTTTCGGGCTGACAGCAGCGTGAGGACCCCATGAATTGATCTACTGTCTCTCACAACAGGGATCTGCACCATGCCCAGGCTGGCAATGACTCTCATCAACCCTCCCAGGATGCACATCCCCGTCGTCCCACCTTGGAAGCCCAGGGTGTAAGACACGCGGCCGACCAGGAAGTTCAGCCCGCTGCCCGTCAGGGCCGCGGTGGTGGCGGGCACCCGCAGGGCGTCCTGCAGCACGCTGTACTCGGTCCAGACCGACCCCACATAAACGCCCGCCGAGGCGGGGGGGAGGGCCAGTTGCGCCCCGGCCAGGGCCGCGACCGCCTCCTCCAGCAGCAGCCGGCACTGCGGGTCCAGGCCCACCGCGTCGGTGGTGGATAGCTGGAACATCGCGTCGTCGAAGCTGGCCACCTCCGAGGTCCACACCGCAAAACGCGGCCCAGTAGACTGCGCATGAAGGTGTGTGATGTGGGCCGTGGGAGTGGGGGTGGGGCGGGGAGCGCATCAGCCATTGCAGGCAGCGCACGACCACTGGCCACCCCACGATGACTCCTTCAAACGCACGTGCTTGATCTCGTCTGGAAGCAGCAGGGTGTCGACGTCCCAACGCTCCAGAGGGGCCACGCTGACGAGGTCCTCCTCCACCCAGAGACTCTTTGTAAAGTCTGGAGATGGATGAGAAGGGGGGCTGGGTGAGGGAGAGGGCTGGGTTGGTGGGAAGGGACAGGGGAATCAGTGCTCTGCATCCTCCTTTGACTTGATGTGTGGAACACCACGCACCGCGAGTGCCGCTGCATCCCATTCAGCCTCTCATGAACAGCACCCATATCCCATCTCGCACCTCCTGTGGCCGCCACTCCGCCCACAGCTCGAGTCGCTGCGCTCCAGATGCCGACCAGCCCCTCCGCACCCTGCATAGGGACGATGGGAGCATGCACAACCTGGCCTTCCCCCTCCCCATTCCCCCCATCAACCCCCGACCCGGCAATGAGCTGTGCCATGGCACCAATGGTGGGGTGGTCGAAGGCCACGGTGGCTGGCAGCTCCATGCCAAAGGCCGAGGCCACGGCGTTCCGCAGCTCCACTGCCCCTGCGGAGACAGGGAGTTTGGGAAAGGGTGACCAATGGATGGTGTCCACTGATGTTCCACCTGATGACGCTCAAGCCCTTGCTGGACACCTGTCTGCATGTAGATAGCCTAAGGGGAATTGCAAAATAATCCTGCCTCCAACCCTTCAGACCACCCCTTCTTGCACCCACATGTCACCTCTCCGCCCAACACAATCACCCACCGATGGAGTCCAGGCCCGCGGCCATCAGCGGCTGTTCCTCCCCCACGTCCCCCCCCAGCAGCTCCGTCACGATGTGGACCAGCTTCAGCCTGACTTCCGGCTCCGTCCGGGCCACGGCCTTGCTCTCCAGGTGGCTCGGCTGGCCCTTGGCCCGCGCCTCGGCTTCCGCCCGGCTCGAAGCAGCCGCCGGCGCCTCGGCCGCGGCCGCCGCCGCCGCGGCCCGCGCCGCCCATTCCTCCAGGGATGCAAACTGGTTGTCGTGCAGTGAGACCAGCGGGGCGCCAGCATCACACAGCACTCGGTGCGAGAGCAGCGTCGCGCACCCCGCCCGCACCGCGGCCACCCAGGCGGGGCGGGCGTGGGCGGGCGAGGCGTGTGGGCGGCCCAGGTAGGCCTCCATGCCGCCGGGGAGCCTCAAAGGCCCCCTGGGGGCCGTCAGGGCCGCCGCCAGCTGCAGCGATGCGTCGGCGGCGGCTGGGTCGGCCCATGCATCGGCGTACGGGCCGCGCGGCCGCCCGGCGCAATCCAGCGCGGCGCATGCGGGCGGGAGGTTGGCGTGGGAGTGCGCCCGAGTCCGCTCGCCGAGACCGGGGGCCAGGCACCGGTGTGCCGGGCCCGGATGATTTGAGGCTTTAGGCGCCAGCACCAGAGCTGCACCTGCCTCCCTGGCCAGTTCCGCGCCTGCCTTCAGGCCCTGGCGAGTGGCGGCCTGGCTGAAAGCATTGCCGAGGAGCCCCGCCGAGACCCCCCCCGGTCCACCTCTCCAGCTGGACCTCCAGCACGAGGGACTGTGCGGCCAGCGTGAGGGGCATGGGGAAGGCCACCGCGCCGAGGGTGACGGACCCCCCCGGGGTAGATGCGGGCCCGCCCAGCAGCGCGGCCGCCGCCGCCGCCGCCTCCAGGAGCAGGGCGGTGGGCAGCACGCTGCGCCCCTGCACAGCGTGGTCGTGCAGGAAAGCGAGGCCGGGCAGGTCCAGCCGCGCCGCGACGCAGGCGGGGCCGGCGGGCGGCGCGGTGGCGCACTGCAGCAGGGGGTGCCAGACCGGGAGGCACCAGTGCACGCCCGGCCGCGCCACGCGGGCCAGCACCCCTCCCGCCGGCACGAGCTCGGCGCCGGGGTCGGCCGCGAGCACGGCGTGCGCGTTGGTACCCTGGAATGCAAAGGCACTCACGCCCCCGTGCGTGGCGGCGTGCCTGACGTGGCTGCATGTTTGTGGGGTGGCTGGGGGAGGGGTGAAAGTGTCTGCGGAGTGCTGAGTGGTGGCCGGACCTGCATGCACGAATGCAGCAGCAGCCCTGGCTGCTGCATGGTGCGAGCAGGAGCGAGCACGGCATTGCCAGCCAGGAGGCCACCTCTAGGCTGAGCCATGCTGCAGGCTTCCAGACCACCATCACCAACAACAAACCCTCGCCTGCTGACTGGGGCACCGCCCTGCCGCCGGACAATCCAGGCCCTGCCATCTTCGCTCCCTCGGCGCTCTCCATCAAAGATGGTCGCAACGTAAGGGTTGAGGATGCCGAGGTGCAGGGTCGTCAGGGGCCTGGCGAGGAATGGGAGGGTGGTGGTGTGGTGTACAAGGCATGAGGCACGACAAGACCCCACGATGATAACAAAGCTATTTAATGTATTATCGGCCTCGGCGCATCCCACTCTCCACTTGACAGAGCCTGGGCAGGACAACGCCCAGCCTCCGCATTTGCCCCAAGACCATCCAGCCACCCACCCTGGCCCCACCTGTCCTCCCCCAGCAGGCGGCCGGCCAGATCGGCGAGACCCACCGCCCCCGCAGCGGGCTCAGCGTGCAGCGCGCGAGTCTTGGAGGCCATGAGCTCCAGCGGCACGGTTGGGGCACGATTCCCGGCACACCGTTCCCCCAGCGCAACCCCCAGCGCAGCGCCGATCTCGATGGGGTCACCCAGCGCGGTGCCCGTGCCATGGAGCTCCAGCGCGGTGAGGGCGGAACCCCTCGGCAGGCCGGCCAGCGCGGAGGAAAGCACGGCGGCCTGGCTGGGGCCGTGCGGCGCGGTCAGGCTGCTGGACCGCCCGTCCTGGTTCACCGCGCTGCCAGCGACGCAAAGCAGCGCGCGCCCTCCTCTCTCGGCGCCCCACTTTCCCCCCGCAGGCAACAATGCGTGCACGACGCAGGCCTCGCCGCGCGCGTAGCCGTCGGCGCCGGCGTCCAGCGTCCGGCAGCGCCCGGCGGGAGCCAGCATGCCCGCCCGCGCCAGCGCGGCCACGGCGTCGGGGGCCAGGCCCAGGAAGACCCCGGCGGCCAGGCCGGGGGCCGCGGCGCAGAGCGAGCCGGCGCAGAGGTGCAGCGCGACCAGGGCCGAGGAGCAGGCGGTGTCGACGCAGAGGGCGGGGCCGGCCAGGGCCAGGGTGTAGGACACGCGGCCGGCGGCCACGCTGAGCGTCCCGCTCTGCGCGCTGTGCGCGCTGAGGCCGTGGGGACGCGCACGTGCACCATACTCCGCGTAGCTGATGCCCACCGCCACCGCAGCCGGGGGCGGCGGCTGGTCTGAGGGCAGCACGGCGGCGCAGGCCTCCCAGCACCCCTCCAGCACCAGCCGCTGCTGGGCGTCCATGGCAGATGCCTGGGGGTGGTGAGAGGGAGGGAGGGTGGGCATTGGAGAAGTTGGAGAGGCGAGTGAATAGGTCGAGCAGTTACGTCCGCCGCGTGGGCCAGTGGGTCAGAGCAGTGTAATACGGTGTGCAAAGGGGTGTACAAATGTGGTTGGGGGTGAAGGAAACACCAGAAAATAAGTATATCGCATGCAAGCTTCATAATGCTCCCAGTAGAGGGAGTTGGCGCATCTCTCGTGTCATGCGGAAGTGCGGCACCATGCCCACCTGTCAACTGCTTCTCAGTGTCGACACCTCTCAGGTGGATCAGCCCTCAATACCCAAAGCGATACCCCTACCCACCCACCTCCTGGGTGCCGATGCCAAAAAGGGCTGGATCAAAGAGCTCGACATCGTCAACAAAGGCACCAAATCGCTTGACAGCCAGACCGGAGTCTGGCCACTCAGTGTCCAGGTCCCAACGTGAGGCAGGGACAGACCTGGGGAGGATGGCATGTGGGGTATTGATAGGAGACTGAAGGGATGATTTCAAGTTGGAAGGCGTCCATCGAAACCTGTGATCACTGAACAAGGGGAACCCAGGCGGAGCAACCAGCACACCTGCTGGCGTCTGCGCTGGGAGGTCGCCAGGACCCACGCGCAATGCTTGCAGCCAGGAGCATGGCTGGACGCGGAGCATCCAATGTACCGCCTCCAAGGCCATGAGGCAAGCTCTGATGAGTCGAGGGTGAGGATGTTCACGGAGATCGAGTTGTTACTCAAAACCATGGAGATGCATCATGGTGGGTGATGCGAGGGTGGCACCATGGTGGACCACTCGATGATTGCAACATGCACCGGATTTCGTGGGAAATGTAATTATGCGGCCAATGAGCCCATCGGGGCTAGCAGGCTCTCGAGCATTGGATTCCTGGCTCCGGATGACGAGGCGATCGGCTCGGTCTCATCGACGAAACCCTCCCCCAAATCCCCGCAGCCGGAATCGCGAGACCCACGCACCTGCGGCGGCATGACCTCCTGGAACTCAGCAATTTCTTCCAGATCAATACCATAATATCCATCCATATCATCTAGAGCCGAATCGTCCATAATTGAGGCTGGGTCGAGGCCCCAGGTGCCCGATCCCTGCCCGCGCACGCGGATGGTCGATCACTTCCCTTTTCGATCCAGCAACTGAAATCTGCAATCTGTCGAGCTTTACGAGCACACCGGACTCTCTTGCATGTTATGTTAGGTGCTATGAGAGTGTCGGGGTGCATGTCATTGGCGCTCTGCGCAATGTTGTGAGGGGAAGCGACTGGTCGGAATGGCTGACGACTGCCAAGTGCTCCGACACCGACAACAATGACGGCAAAGGAGCACAGCCCGGCTATTGGCCATCGACGGGTGCCTTTGGATGCATTTGAATCTATCGTAGCTTTGTAATACATCCTGCCTTGGGATACCTCTCGGGCCATCGCTGTGCATCCCCCGAGGGTAGTCCGTGTGTTCCTTCTGGGATGCCGGTATTTGAGACCGTTCCCCCGCAGCAAAATTCAGAGTGTAATGCTGACCACTGGTAGCATGTGAGGTGGTTCGGGGTTTCCTGTGAATATCAAGATTGTTGGAGGCTGCTTGTCGTGCTGCAAGTATCGTCGGTCTCCTTCGACGCCACGCACGAGCACCGGGCCCACAACCGGGCCCTCACTGAACACTCTTCATAAAACTCTATGCGTGTCCTCCAGCCCGGCACAGCGATGATTGATTGCTGCAAAGCCAGTCGTGCACGGTCAGAGGGAAAGATCTCCTGGGTGCAGGCCGGAGACCCTCAGCTGGGGCAGGAAAGGGCTATGTTTACCGGCCACCCACGGGGCCAGCGATCGCCAAAATCCTCCCTCACACTCCCCACCACGCACAGTCGCCTAGTGCTTGGCCTTGTGCCGGGAGGTGACGATGGCCCAGTTGGTGCGCGCGCCCTTGTCGCGCGTGCGGTGGCCCTTGGTGGGCACGCCCCAGGGCGTCTGCGAGATGCGGCCCTTGACCTTGCCGCGCCCGCCGCCGTGCGGGTGGTCCACCGAGTTCATAGCCATGCCGCGCACGCGCGGCTTCCGGCCCCGCCACCGCGTCGCGCCGGCCTTGCCATGCTTCACATTCTTGTGCTGTGCGTTGCCCAGGGCGCCAATAGTGGCCGTGCAGGCCAGGCTGACCAGCCGCTGCTCGCCGGAGGGCAGCTTGATGGTCGCATACCCGTCGGTGCCTGAATTGTTGGTTTTGGTATGTATGGGGAATGGGGGGGGAGGAGAGGGGGGTATGTGTTGAAAAGTCCGCGTGGAGGCCTGGAGCAAAAGTAGCACTGCAGCAGGGTTGCGGCATGCCAGTCTGTGCCCCACTTCCCTCCCTCCCGCATCTGCCCCCCATACCCTTAAAAACACAAACCAACACGCTCACCCTTCTTGGTGATGCTGGCGGCGGTGCCCCCCGCCCGCGCCAGCTGGCCGCCCTTCCCCGGGCGCAGCTCCACGTTGTGGATGGGCATGCCCACGGGGATGGCGGAGAGGGGGAGGGAGGAGCCAGGGACGATGGGCGCGTCGGGGCCGCAGGTCACGCGGTCCCCCGGCGCCAGCCCGGCGGGGGCCAGCATGTAGGCGTGGCTGTCGGCCGAGTCCAGCCCCGCGCCGGCGAAGCCGTCGTAGCGCAGCAGCGCGATGCGCGCGGAGCGGATGGGGTCGTACTCGATGCGCTCCACTGTGCCGGCCGGCGTACCGGTGCCGCGCACAAAGTCCACGAGGCGGTACACACGGCGCGAGCCGCCGCCGCGGTGGCGCGCTGTGACGCAGCCGGCGGCGTTGCGGCCGCCCGTGCGGCGCAGGCCCTCGGTCAGCGGCTTGAAGGGGCCCCCGGACCAGAGGTCCTTGCGCGCGGTAATGATGCGCCCGCGCATGCCTGCGGGGCAGGGTGGGTGAGACCGGGGGGGGATGTCGCGGGGTGACGGAGCACGTGCGTGGGCAAGAATGCCGTGGGCTGACAAGAGAGTGTCCTCAAGCTTACAAGGGGCCCTCCGTACCTGGGGTGTTGGGCTTGTACGCCTTCAGGCCAGGGGAGGTGTGGTGCACCTTCAGCCTCACCTGAACGCCTTGCCAGGACCCGGCGGGCCCTGGGGTTCGGGGGAGCACCACATGGACAGGGTGGTGGAGTGAGGTGCAGGGCACGATGGCGTGGAGCCACCCGATCGATGTCGTGACCAGATACGTACCTACCACGACATCAAGCCCCCCGATCCATACCTTCTGTACGCAGACTAGACGCAAAACTGGTGCTGCAGCCGGACGAGGACGCCACCCGCTCACAGGCCTGGCAAGGGAGGAGGGGGTGGGATGGATGACGGGCACACGTAATACGATACAGGTTCCCCAGGATATTCATGTACGATGTCGAAGTTCAACGCCGCCCCCCCCCCCCCCTTTACGTACTCACAGCCGGTGTTGTCCATTGCTGCAGAGCTGCGCGCAGGCCGGAGGCCTGGGCCAGCCGCCGCAGCATTCGGACACGTCCCGTACTACACTCACTGAATTCGCTGGATTTTCGGTGGGTAATCCTGCATGCGCCTCCTGCGTTCCTGGTGATGTGCTCCTTGTCGCACATGGGTTTTGCACAGTTCACATCGGAAGGTACTGCACTGTACCACGATGACCGCTGGAGGGGTCGATGCTCCCTGCACCCATACCCTGGGCGGCTTCACTTGAGTCTACAGTGCACCACCAGCTTGCCGCACACAGACCAGGAACCCATTGCAAGGGGTATCATGCTGGCTGCAGGGCCACGGCAGCTTGCTTGGATGCCTGGAGGGCTTGCCGCCTGGCGGCCACATACGCGCCCACCCGCGCCCCCCTGGGGGAGAAGAAGGCGGCGTCCACCACGCCGCTCTCGCCCTTGGACGACAGCTGGATGGTCCAGCCCGCCTCCAGGTCGTCCAGCTCGGCGCAGCGCTCCCTGCGAGAGGCATACTCGTCGGGCAGCCCAGCGATGGGCCCCCGAGGGTACAGCACCGTCTCCTGGGCCGGTGCAGCCTGTGGCGCTGCCGAGGCAGCTGCTCGTCTCCTCTCTGCTGCAGGACTGGCTGCTGCTGGATCAGCATCCGCAGACGCCGTAGGCGCCCTGCGGAGTGATTCGGAGCGGAAGGACATTCACCGGTGCATGCCGGGCTTCAGCAGAACAGCCGTCCTGCATGCGGCCTGGAGGACAGACAAGGACACACCCCGTCGGCCCCAGAGCTTCATCCAGACACCAAGGGCCGGACAGCATGGGCGATTCATCGCGGCGACCACCCCGAATCGAAGCGAGCCCCAACCCACCTGTCAGGATTGGCGGCGGGGTGCACCGTAGCACTAGGAGCTGGGTCACCCAGAGTCAGATCGTTCAGGCCCAGCGAGCCCTCCTCAGTCGTGGTCGCTGCGAGCGCCAGGACCTCGGCCCTGCCCCCCACCCCTGCCACCAGCGAGTGCACCGGCCGGAAGAGACCGGGATCGATGAGGCAGAACATGATCAGCGACGAGCCTGCTTTGTGATAAGGGGGGATGCGTGTCAGGGGGGCGAGAGCCAGGGGGCCGCATTTCAGCATCCGCAGGGGCACGCTGGTGATGGAGCGAGGTGCCTACACCTTTCAGCCTGCTCTGTAGGTATGTACAGCGTCCTCCCAAACCAATTCACCCGAAAGCTCGCAGTCCTGCACGGCAGCCCTCTCGGGGGTGAGAAGCCCCTGCAGCTCGTCCCGATTCGCCAGGGGCAGCGTGATCTTGAGACGCATGCGTGCGCGCTCGATGGGGAAGCGCTCCTGGAGCGCCGGCAAAGCCTGTGGGAGGGTGGAAAGAGCGGCGCCTGAGCCACTTTGGTGACTGAGCTGGTGCAGGCTGGGGTGGCCCGCGGCAGCCCCACCCTGCTTTGAGGTGGGGGCCGGCGAGCCCTGGCGCCTGGGTCATGGAAGCCCTGCAGTCAATGGCAGCCCCCCGTCACCTTTCCCCCCATGCCAGTGCCCCCACCTCGAGGGCCTGCGTCTTGGCGGGGCGGTTGGAGTCGACGGAGAAGTGGGTGTCTTTCAGCGCGCGCTCGATCATGGGGATGGTGTAGGGGCGCTGGGTGGTGGGGTTGATGCACTTCTCGCTGATCACGGCCGCCACGTCGCGGAACTTGGTGTCTAGCTCCAGCTTCCGCTCCCGGTCCGACACCTGGAGGTCCCCGTGGGCGAGGATGAAGCGGCACACCGCGTCCTCGTCGTCCGTGCCGAAGACCAGCTTCAGGTCCTCCCGGCTCGCCAGGACCGCCTTGGAGACGTTGGAGTACACCGTCGTGGTCTGCAGCACCTCGTCCAGGTCCTTCTCGCTGCAGAGCGGAGAGAGATGTAGGGGGGCGAATCGAGGACGGTGACGGAGGAAGTATAGAGGGGCGATGGGGATCTTGCAACACTCCTGTACGCACAAGTGGGCGACGCCGGCATCCCAATCCACATCCTTGCGCACATGCCGTTGCGCCAGTTGAGAACTTTGTTCTTGTAGCAAGCGATCTCAAAGCGCTTGCCATGCTTCTTCATGCGCACCACCGCGATGTTGGTCAGCCGCTTCTGGCCTGAATCCAGGTACGTTCATGGGGTCAGGGGGGGGTGGCTTAAGGCTTTGCACGGGGTGCTGTCGACCCATTCAAGGCCACGGGAGCATGTTACAATGCATACCTACGGGTTGGAAGACGGACTGGCTCATCGCAGCGACGATGCGGTCAACGGAATAACAACAGTCTGCACTGTGGCAGGGCCGCCGACAGTGTGACTCCCTCGGTCCAGTTGGTGGAGCGAATGTGCGTCGTCTACACTCGTTGGTTCCATGGAATTTATTTTTAACCAGAGAAGTAATGCAGTTTTAAAGGGCACCGTGCGTCCTCGACATGCGCGTGCTTCGCATGATCAGGGACTGGACGACAGACCTGTCCAGACCCTCGTTTTTAAGGCAAACTGCGTCTCAGATTAAAAACCTTCTGCTTGCATATGGAATGGTGGAAGATTCGCCCTGGGACAGTCAGACGAGGCATTGATTCCTGTTGATCTTCTTCATCCGTCGTGACAACCACTGTCCCTTCATGATGCAACATGGCAACGAGTGGGGGTGGCATCCGTGAGCAGAAAGGGAAAGCACGGAATACCCTTGTTCCCCTACTGGGCTTGCGCCGGTTGCTAGCAGCTTATTCCCATGGACGGGATATCGCTGGCGCAGTTGGTTGCCTCTAATGGCGAACCGGGTGGGTGGGAGGGTGGGGGGAAAGGAAGGGGAAGCAGAGGGTCCACCAAAAGTTGTGGGACGAGGTGTATTCGCAAAAAAGCACTTGGTCAGCATCAGCATGTTGGCAGCCCCGTTGACGTCGCGGTTGACAACATGGACTCTGCAGCCCTTGTTGACACAGCGCTTAGTGTCCCACACGTCCACCAGCTTCTCCTCTCGGTTGCGCACCCGCTCATACTGGTGGGCGTGCAGGGTGGCGTGCCAGGCGCAACACAGCTTTGATGACCTGTGCTCGTCGACCACCACCACCCTGCACACCCGCTGCAGGCGCCGCAAGAAGCGTATCCAGGGCCGGGGCGGGGCCCCCCGCATGATGCCCCCCCGGTCCTGGGCCGACCAGTTGCTCACGCCCACGACCGTAGTCATGCCCAGGGGGGGCCGGAACTGCTCCGCCAGCCAATTGATGGCCCGCTCCCTGCCGACGTATGCCTGGTGGCGCAGCTTCCGGAACGGCTTCTCGTCCCTGTGCCAGGCCAGGCCCTGTCGGAAGGTGGGGACGATCCACGCAACCCGCGTCAGGAGCACCTCTGTGCTCGCTGTCTCAGAGGTCGGGCACCTGCAGGAAGAGGGGCTTGAGCAAGGAGGTTGGTACATTTGGAGCGACTGGGGTGTCGTGACACAGGCCCCAGAGAATGACACTGTATGCACAGGCAACGATGCTGGGGTTGCGAAAGACCAAGTTGATGTCCAACAGAGACTCCACGAGGTCAACGGCCCACCGGGACAGGCGCAGACACTGGAAAGTGGCGTCACTGTGGCCCGAATGCCCAATGTCAGGGTAGAAGACAATGCTGTTCTTGGAGTCTTGCCTCAGCTGCTTGATGGTAAATGTATGCTGGCAGTCGGTCTTCATAGAGCGGCGGCGCGACAGGGTCGTCCGCCCCTCCCGCTGGCTGGCTCTGTCATTCTCTACCCACTCAGGTGTGCCCGGACCACGGTCGCACCTGTAGTACTCGACTGACACCCAGTCCTGTGCGTTTGTTGAAGAGCTGGGACTGAGTGCAGCGGAAAGGGGACGGGCTGCATGCTCATCACACGGGCCTTCCGTTGGAGGTGATTCGAATCCAGCAGAAGCGTGGGGATGAAGCGGAGCAGGACTCAAAATAAATGGGTAGAGTTTCATCGTCATTGATTAACTCTTTTCGACAAGGTCTGCACCTTTTTCGTACGATACCGAGGCCCCCCCGGAAAAACGTGACTTCTCAGCGGGTGGCAGCCACCTTGGTCCGAAGCCATGACGGACGGGACTGTCCCAGCCCGCACGTGAACATTGGCCAAATCAAGTGACCCGGCAAGATAAGCCATCGAGCAGCAACCCTTTCCAAAGTCACGGACGCCACTTACCGCACCCGCATTTTGAGTCTCCACCAAGCCGACGAGCCTCGGTGTCACGTGACGAGCCAAAGCCACCCCGAAATTCTGGGACCTCCATCCCCCACGCCGTATCTACACATTACGCCTCCACCCCAAAGACGTCCTCTTTCTGGCAGAAAATGTCCCTCTTAAAACTCACAGCCGCCATGGAGAGTTTGAGTCGGTCCCTCTTACGATCGCCTACGTGCTCCCAGCTCAGTCGGTCGCACTCCCCCTCATTCTGCCCAGTGGGCCACCCCGGTGAGTTGAACGTGCACCAGATCTGGGTGAATGTGGCAATGCCTCACCCTGCCGGGCTGGACCGAGCAAGATCTGCTTCCTCCTAGTAGGTGCCAAGCTCGCCTTCCGACAACAGCACGGGAGCGCGGTCGCGGCCGCAGCCAGCCCGGCCGAGGCCCTTGTGGACCATGCCGAGCCTCGGTATGACATCGATGAGAACATTGGCTTCATCGGTGCCGGCCAGGTGAGGACACAGGCGATGGGGTGGGTTTGGTGGGTGGGCACCAGCAGGGAGGGTGCCTGTCTGACCGCATCCTGCCAGTCATACTTGACGGCGATGTTGATCATGTGCATGGGCCCCAGGAACATGATAATAAAGTGCTAGATTATTCCACGCTTTTTTTGTCACAAGCAAGGTTGGCACCCTGTGCTGGCCTCCCAGCAATCCTGATCCGTGCAGTCGGATTTCGCTTCGTTTACCTTTTGGCCCCCTCTCCCCGCCCCCCCACACACACACCCCAAAAATATGCTCACAGATGGGCGAGGCCATGATCCGCGGCTTCCTGGAGTCTGGCGTGTCTCATCCCTCCCGCCTGTCTGCCTCGGTGCGGTCCAGCGCCCGCGCCACGGCGCTGTCCCGCCTGGGCGTCACCCGCGTGTTCCAGGACGCGGTCAAGTCCGGTGGCGCGGCGGCGCTGGCCGCCTCGGCCCGCGTCATCTTCCTGGGCGTCAAGCCGCAGGGCCTGCCCGAGGTGCTGGCCGCGCTGGCCCCTCACGTCGGCCCCCAGCACCTGGTGGTGTCCATCGCGGCGGGGGTGCGCCTGGCCACGCTGGAGGCGGGGCTGGGCGCGGGCGTGCGCGTCGCACGCGTCATGCCCAACACGCCCATGCTGGTGGGCCAGGGTGCCAGCGCCTACGCGCTGGGCTCCGCCGCGGGCGAGCGCGACGCGGCGCTGGTGCACGCCCTGCTCTCCGGCGTGGGCATGGCCCTGCACGTCGACGAGCGCTGCATGGACGCGGTGACGGGGGTCTCCGGCTCCGGCCCCGCCTACGCCTACATGATGATCGAGGCCATGGCCGACGGCGGGGTGCAGGCGGGGCTGCCGCGCGCCACCGCGCTTGCGCTCGCCGCCAAGACCGTGGCGGGGGCCGCGGCCATGGTGCTGGGCGAGGGCGCCGACGGCGCCCTCGATCTCACACACCCCGGCGTGCTCAAGGACCGCGTGGGGTCGCCGGGCGGCACCACCATCGCCGCCATCGCGGAGCTGGAGAACAGCGGGGTCAGGGGCGCTTTCATGCGCGCCGTGCGCGCCGCCGCCGAGCGCTCCGCCGCCATGGGCTGAGGGGGCCAGACGCACCCGGTGACCCCGGACCTAAGCCCTGGAGCCCGCGATGCAGCGCCCGATGTCGGCAGCCTGGCAAGGTCTCGGCAGCCCTCTGCTTCGAGAATCGCAGCACGGGAGAGACCCCCAGGCCTCAATCCCGGGCACCAAGTGCCCCACACACTAAAAACGATGCCTTCCATGCCCGTTTGCAGCATGAATCTTTCATTTCCCCTCGCTCAACAAGCAGTACCCTTCACCCGCTCTCCTCTGTCCCGGGGCGTGTAGTGCTCCCTGTAATCACCCCTGCGTGTGCCCGTCGCTGTCTGTATCCCCCCTCGCCACTCTTCCAGTACTGTTTCCCCTGGTGTGTTCTGGCCACCCATTTTGTTAGCAACTTCAATCGAGCCAAGGGATCATTTAGGGGTGGTTTCTGAGGGTGGCTGGTTGCTCGCCGATTGGCTTGCAGTTCAGACAGGGGGGTGGGCACCACCATCACTTGCCATCCACATGCTGAGATTGGAGCGCTGCATCGTTGGCTGCGCCGTGCACGGGTCCCACCTTTCCAAGCCTCACACATGCTCACACTTGGGGATGGGGGTGCTCCTCCGCGCTCCGTGCTCCAGAAGGACACCTTGACCTGTACCCCCCTCATCCTCGGTTGTCCGTCCCCCTCACGATTTCCCTGCCTCCCTTTCCACCCCCCACCCCCCCCCCCACCCCGGGGTCCACTCTGTACCAACCCTGCCCCACAACCTTGCACGGGCCATTACACCATCACATGTACAGGCCCTCTGGCACGCCGTCCTTCTTCTTGTACAGCACCTTCTCCTTGGCCTTGGCAAAGTCGGCGTGCGTGACGCGCATGCGCCGCTCGCGCAGGGCCAGCAGCCCCGCCTCGGTGCACATGGCCTTGATGTCGGCGCCGGACAGCTCGTCCTTGGCCACCACAAACTCCTCCACGTTCACGTCCCCCGCCAGCGCCATGCGCCCAGTGTGGATGGCGAAGATGCGGCGCTTGGTCTTGGCGTCGGGGAGGGGGAACTCGATCTTGCGGTCGATGCGGCCGGGGCGGATGAGGGCCGGGTCCAGGGAGTCGATGCGGTTGGTGGCCATGATCACCTTGACGTCCGACAGCGCGTCGAAGCCGTCCAGCTGGTTCAGCAGCTCCAGCATGGTGCGCTGGATCTCGCGCTCGCCCCCGCTGTTGGCCTCGTACCGCTTGGTCCCCACCGCGTCGATCTCGTCTGCGGGAATCGGGTGGATGAGGGGGGTGATGATGGTGCAGGGGGTGGGTGGAGCGTGCAAGAGCTCGGCCAGGGGCAGGGAAGGCAGCCTGAAAGGAGGAACAGGATCCAGTCGCCCCCAGTTCACACACCAATGAAGACGATGGAGGGCGAGAGCTCGTCGGCGGTGCGGAAGAGCTCGCGGACGAGCTTGGGGCCGTCGCCGAGGTATTTCTGGATAAGCTCGCTGCCCACCACACGCAGGAAGGAGGCCGAGGTGGAGTGCGCCACGGCCTTGGCCAGCAGCGTCTTGCCCGTGCCGGGCTCGCCGTACAGGATGACGCCCTGAGAAGGGGAGGAGGGGTGAGTCGAACATTCAAGCTGTCAACAAAGCATGCTCTGTCGCCCGGGCTCCCAGGCGATCATGCATGCAAAGCCAAGGTGCTTGCCTTGGGTGGCTTGATGCCGATGTCCTCGTACAGCTCCGGGTGCGTCAGCGGCAGCTCCACCGCCTCCTTGATCTCCTGCGGGGAAACCGGTCGAGCACGGGACATTCAGCAATGGAGCAGGGCAGAGGCGCCTGCCCTGGCAACAGCATCAGCGGTCTGCTCGGTGGACCGCCTGTGCTCCTAGGACTTCCCATGTCGACCCTTATCAAAAGAAAGCCCCTCAACAACACACTGCACGGACCTGGATCTGCTGGTCCAGACCGCCCACATCGGCGTACGACTCGGTGGGGGCATGCTCTACCTTCATGACTGACACTGCGGGGTCCGACTCATCTGTCAACAAGCCCACCACGTGCATGCCCTGCAGGAGCGTGTGGGTGGGGAGTGGTGTCGCTGGCACAAGAAGACACGAGGCAGGTGACATTATGCGCAGGGCGTGTGTATAATGACAATCCCATACAGTACTCAACAAGGGCTAAAGAGCACTATGCACCCCTCATCGATCTCAGCGCACCATACCTTGTTATGAAGGAGGACGGAGCAGCCAGGCTCGAGCTGTGTCTTGTCCACAAATGACATGATGGTGACATAGTACTCGGGGCCGACGGCTGACGAAACGATGCCATGGCTGCAAAATTGAGAGGATGCCGAGCGATAATGCAAGGTTACTTCTCGAATCACGCTCTCCTATCCTTTGCATGAAGTCAAAGGAAGGAGACGATTCCCTTACACATCTGAATACAATATCCAGCCCTCTACTCACTTCTCATCGATGAGCTCCTCCAGAGTACCCACTGAGAGTGGGCTGCCCCGCAGGTCATCGACCTGCAGTTGAAGTTTTTCTTGAAGGCATCAATGAGTGGTCCAAAGGTACATAGCTGCCGCATGCCGCGGCACACTGGAACTCCTTGTGACTAAATCTCACAACTCCCATCTCACCTTGGTCCTGTCCTCCTCATTGCGTTCCTCCTGGGGTGCCAGCCGCTCCTGGTTGGTAACATACTCCTCCTCCATCAGCAACCAGTCCTTGACTCGCTCTAGCTTCAATAACCGCAACTTGCACTTGCTGGTAGGAGTGATGGTGGGGAGCTTGCTGCCCAGGCCGGCCCCTGCACCCCGCTTGCGCTGCTTCTTTCCCACGCGGGGAGGGGGTGCAGGCGGTTCATACTTCTTCTTCTTCTCCTGGAGCGGGAAGGGCGGGAGGCTGAGGAGGGGATCACCGGAACCAGAAGTTGAGGTCGTCGCTGCTCAGGCCTCACCTGCCCATTCTGCTTGTCTCCAGGTCCTCCTTGTCCAGAACCTGGAGCGCTTTGATTTTGTCCCATGCACTGGCCGTGCGCTGCCCCGCGGGGATTGCCCCTCCACCTCGGCCCCGAGGTGTGGTCTGGAGTGATCCCCCGGGCTACAGATCACGCGATCCAGAAACGGCTCGACTGCACAATGTTAGAATCCAACTCTCAGCTCAGACCAAGGATGGCTCCAAATCATCGTGACCCCTGGAACACCACACGCGATGGAGCACACTAGCACGGACGTCTCCACCCTCCTCCCATTCCCATCTTTCTTCACCTTTCGATTACAACCAGGTCTCCGTCAGCCAGTTCGAGCGAGTGCCTGACACTACGTTATACGTCCTTCCCTTCATACCACTTCTGCGCAAATGCCTGACACCAACCAGGTCTGAAATGCAGCAGAGTACGCCCCCACGCACAGCCAGCAAGCAGTGTGCTCCGCGCCAAGGCAGGCGGGTGAGCGCCCTGGCAGATGCGTATGGACGGACCATCAAGCATGCGCTGCGGGGCGCCGATGAGGAGCAATTCGCCGAGTGTTTTCCAAACATTCAACCCGAGCTCCTGGAGATCCTCTGGCAAGGCTATCGCCAGGTGACTTGGGTTGGGCTGCGACTTGGGACCGGGACTTCCAAATGTGAATGCAAAAACAGGACAACACCCTGGTAGCGCATTTCCCTCCATTCGAACATGCCCCCCCAGGTCCTGCATGGATCCCGAGTCCACATCGAGTCCGACTTCGACGCCATCTGCGAGGAGACGGCGCTGACAGATAAGCTGCACCAGCTGGAGGAGCTGTGCGAGGCTCAGGGCGTGTCGGATGACCCTCACGCCAGGCAAGCGGCTGGGTGGGGGTTGGCATCATGATTTCGTAGTACGATATGGCCAGTGGGGCTGCCGTTGACAGTGACGCTGACAGGTGATTGCCAAGAGAGACCTGGCGTGAAGTGGTCAGTCAATGTCGCCCACGAGCCCAGGAGTTAGCTGTAGAGTTCCGGCACCTCCCAACCCGACTCGCAGGTCTCTGTCAGGAGAGGATCGCCCCACGCGGGCCGTGCGGGCCGCGCTGCACGCCGCGCGACGGGCCGAGGCCGAGCAGCTGGAGTCCATCCTGGCGCGCGCGGCGGCCCGTCGGGAGGCCCTGGAGGCGCAGCTGGCGGCCCGGGTCGCGGAGCTGGAGCTGCGGGCCAACGCGCTGCGCCCGCTGGCCGCGCTGGACACCAACGTGTCCCGGGCCTGCCTGGCCTGGGAGTCTCACAAGCTCCAGGCTGCTGCGGAGGCCTGAGAAGGACCAAAGGCCCCTTGCTTGTAGTGTTTTCCTCCTCAGAATGTGTACTTTGGCCCCCCACTGCACGGCGCAGACCCTGACGCCTCTCGGCGCCTTTCCCACTGACAAAGCCTCGCTGCAACAGCATACATCACGCAAGGGCGATGCATGCGCCGCTGCAGAGGAGAGATCGGCCCGAGCCCGCGAGCGGTCCCCGCCAGCGAGCCGCATAGACTCAGCGGCTGACTCAGCGCGACCGCGCTGACTCAGCGCGCCGCGTCCAGGTGCTGCACCAGGTCCATGGCCCCCGTGCCCATGGCCACGGGCTGGCCCAGCACGATGCGGGAGGCGGGGGAGGTGAGGCGGTCCACGTCGCCGTGCAGGGTGGAGGAGACCAGGAAGGAGGCCGCCGTCTCGAACGTGACCTTCAGAAAGGGGGAGGTGCTAGCGGAGATGCCAAGCCGGTTGCAGGCCCGGTACCCTCCCTGTGTTGGAGGGGGGGGGGGTGGATTGTTGGGTGGGTGAGTCACTGGGTGGGTGGGTGGGAAGAGAAGATGAGAGTTTTAGTCCTTTCTCCGCGTTTGGCACAAAATTCCTGGGTGCATTCGTGCACCGCCCTCCGAGAGAACCAGCATCGCAGCGGGATGATCCTCGGTTGAGTAGAGGCGCTTCTGTTGTCAGCAGTGCCCTCAGAGTGTAGTCGTTCAAGGGGTGTCCCCCTTGCCTGCTCACTTCCAACAGGCCACCTCCCATGTACACCCACCTCAGAGCCTCCGATCCGAGGTTTTCCCCCGCCCCACCCCCACAACCCTCACCAGGTGCGTCATGTAGTCGGCGATGAGGGCCAGGTGGCGCGGGTCAACGCCGATGCCGTAGGCGCCGAAGACCGAGGCGGCCTCACGCACGATGGTGGCGCGCGCGGCCTCCACGCCGTACGTCTCCAGCATGGCGTAGGGCGAGTTGGCGGCCAGGCCGTCCACGTCCACCAGGTCGGCCGAGGCGGCGGCGGCCCGCAGGTTGATGCCGTCGGTCTGCACGCAGGCGGCTGCGCCGCGCGCCGCCTCCAGCACGTAGCAGCGTGACACGCCGGGCGTGCCGCGCAGGACGGCGGCCGCAGCCACGCGCTCCGCCACCTCCTGCAGCAGCAGCTTGGGGCAGTCCAGGGCCAGGTGCAGGGCCAGTCCGCAGGAGGAGGTCGCCGCATCCACCCACACCCCGCCCTCCAGCTCGACGCGCGACGAGGCGGAGGCGGAGGTGCGGCGGGCGGCGCCTGATGCGGATGCGGCGGAGCGCGGAACGGCGGGGCTGGGGGCGGCCGCCCAGCCCTCCTCCGCCTCTGCATCCGCCGAGGCAGTGGCGCCCCGCGATTCTTCATCCGCACCCGGCCCCGTCTCCTCCCCTCCCTCCTCCTCCTCCGCCAGGCCCTCGCGCTCAGCGGCCTGGCGCTGCGCCTGCGCGGCCAGGGCCGCGTCGTCCTCGTCCCCGGCGTCGTAGGTGGCGTGCTCGCCGCGCCCCGCGCCGAACCGCGTCTTCCCCTCCTCGTCCTCTTCGCTCTCCGGCTCCTCGGCCTCCTTGGGGCGGCGCGGCGCCGGCGCCGCGCCGCCGCCGCCGCCGCCACCGCCGGCCGCCGTGGCGCCCTCCTCCCCGCCCAGCCGGCTCACGGCTACGGGCCCCAGCGCGTTGCCCGTGCTGGCGCGGCGGATCTCCGCCTTGACCGCGGCCTGGAAGCGCGGGACGAAGACGTCGCGGAAGGCGGCGGCCAGCTCCTCGAAGCCCAGGCCCAGCTCGGGCGGGTAGGCGTGGGGGGGGTGGAAGCGCAGCGTCACGCGCGCCACGCGCGCGCGCCCGCCGTCCACCGCGCTGCTGCGCGCCAGCGCGTCCTCCTCCACCTCCAGCGCACGCAGGGCCTCGCCCAGGCGCACGCGGCGCAGGCGGGCGGCCAGCGCCGCCGCGCCGGCGGCGGGGGCGCTGGGGCGCAGCGGCAGCGTCATCACCGGCGTGGCCAGGGTGGGCGAGGCGGTCATCAGGATCTCGCGCAGGCGCGGGATGCCCAGGGTCACATTGGCCTCGCCCCGCCCCGCCATGTGGAAAGTGTTGAGCGTCATCTGGGTGGAGGGCTCGCCCACCGACTGCGCGGCCAGCACACCCACCGCCTCGCCGGGGGCGGCCTGGCACTGCTGGAAGCGCAGCTGCATCAGCCGCGTGAAGTCTGTGCATGGGTGGGGTTGGGGGGAGGGGGCCAGAGGGGTTGAAGAGATTCGGATGATCTTTGTGGTGACAAGGCTTGGGAATGCCCGGTGGGGCTATCGAGGGTTGGTCGTGTGCTCGACAGCCAGGGTAACTCGGTGCAATGCCGGCGCACAACAGGGATAAACAACAGAACAGATATTCCTCAACACCACCCCAGAACAGGTTGCCCCCCTCCCCCCCCCACCCCCCCCAAAACAACCCACCCATGGGGTCCAGGGGCGTGAAGCTCCATGGCTTGTTCTTGGACAGGCAGCGCGCCTCCTTCTTCCCCGCGCGCTTGTAGTCCTTGCCCAGGGGCTCAGGGCCGACGGGCGGACGCAGGCCGCCGCCGTACATGGCCTCGGCAAGGGCCCCCTGGAACCCCTCGGAGGTGACGCCCAGGGTGTCGTGGGAGACCACCGAGTCCGCAGGCAGGCACTTTGCCATCGTCTTGGACTTGCCCGCCAGCAACGCCTTGCTCCACGACCTGGATGGTTGAGATTGTGTTTGTGGGTTTCCAGCCCAGTGCGGGTGCTATGGCTGGCGATCCCAGGCATCTCCTTTGGATGCAGGGACATGCATGATCCTGACTCGTGTGGAGCTAATCCCGAGCCATTCATTCCGGTCCCACCCAAACCTCCCTCCTACATGGATGCATCGCACGCACACTCACAAGCTTCGCTTCCCAACCCCAAAATCCCCAACAAACAACATACCTGACCACGCCCGTCGCCTCTCCTTGCTCCTTGGAGGGGTTGCCCACCAGCCCCGGCCCGCTCAGGGCCGTGGCGGCGCCCAGGATCTTGCCCAGCTGCGGCATGTTGCCGTAGAAGAAGGGCAGCGTGCGCAGGCACCCCGTCCGCGTGGTGTCGATGCCGTCCTCGCCGTAGTGGAACTGCGGGCGCGGTGGGGTGCGGGAGGGGGTATTGTTGTTGTGCTGGTCACATGCCGGGTCGGCGCCAGGCTCTCACACACGCCTTGCCTCCCTGCACCTTGATAGAGTGGCATGCAGGCTGATCAAGGCACCACACCAGCCATCGCTCCTCCCCCTGGACAGGCACAAACGCCCACACAGCCCCCTTTTCCACTCCCCTCAGTCACAAACACACCTGGACGATGGAGGAGTCGGTGTCGTCGCGGACGGTGGAGTCGTAGGCCACACGCAGCGGCTCCAGGTTCTTCACCAGGCAGCGCTGGATGTAGCCCGAGCGGGAGGTCTTCACCGTGGTGTCCACCAGCCCCTCCCGCCCTGCCATGCAGTGGAAGTAGTACTCCTGCGGGCGCAGACCCGACAGGAAGCGGTCGCCCACGTAGCCGCCGGAGCGCGCGCCGACGTCAAATGGCGCGAAGCAGGGCAGCGTCTTGCCCGAGGCCATGCGTGGCACTCGCCGCCCCTCCAGTTCCTGCTGGCCCAGCAGGCAGGAGATCTGGGAGAAGTTGACCAGGGAGCCTTTGGCCCCTGTCACCGTCATCAGCGCCATCATGTTGTGCCGGAAGGCCTTTTCCTGGCCGCCGGGCAGGCACGCCCGGACCACGTCGCTGGATAGCGGGTGCATCGCGCCTGAAATGGTGGGGGTGGGAAGGTTGAAAAGGGGGGGTTGGGATGATCTGGCAAGCGGGATCTTGTAGGAAAGGGGCAGCTCTCGCACGCCTGCATGTCTGCCGAGCTGATGCCTAGCACGCGCTCATACAGCCTTCGCTGCCCCAGCCCCAGATCCTTCCCAGACCACTGTACCCAGACGCACTGGAGGACTTCATGTCCAGCAGGGCACCAGTCTCCTGGTTGGAGCGGAACCTGTCGCGCAGCTGCTCCCTCACATCTGGCTCCGCGCTGCGGAAGGCCTCCTCCTGTAAGCCAGGGAGGAGGCGAGACGTGCAGGAGTGGACCAGGAGCGGCACCGTCATCATGCTGCCAGCACTGCCAAGCATGCTGGGTACTCGGTGGGCAGCCAACCACCAGTGTGCCAGTGTCCCACCCCTCAGCACTCACATAGGACATGCCCTGCTCGGCCAGGGGTCCTGCCCGGGAGGGCCCAAACAGGCTGGCGGCGGCATCCAGACACCGCACGTCAGCGCTCGTCAGCAATTTCTTCCTTTCCTCCTCAGCGTCCTGGGTGCGTGAAGATGACGCGAGGAAGGTGAGTGGGAGGGGAGGCCTCGTAGGTGTCGGGGGGCGGCATGGCAGCTCCACCGACCCTCCATCCCATCGCCGCTCCTCATCCGACGTGCCGGCACCCCCCTCCGCACAGCGCTGCCCGGCCGAGCCACGCACGCTCACCTGCACCAGCAGCACGTCCGACATGCCGCACGTGAAGCCGTGCTTCTGGAGGAAGCCGGTCAGCAGGCGCGACAGGGAGGCCGTGAGCAGCGAGGTGCGCTCGGCGCCGTACAGCTCCTGGGGGGCATGGGAGGGAGTGGTGTGTTGGGCGGGCTTTGAGCGGAGCATGCATGCACCGGGTCCCATCCCCTCAGCCAGGCCTCGAGCACGCAGGGCCATTCTCATACGCCTCCCACACCCAGCGTCCCAGCACCGCCGCGGTCACAGCCTGCACAGTGCCATCATGCATCAGGGAGCAACCCCTCCCCGATAAGGGTGCGCACGTGGAAGAAGTGGAGGAGGCCGTGCTTTCCAAAGCAGTTCTTGTCCACGCACCCCGCCAGCACGTGGTTGTGCTGGATGAGCAGCTTGCCTTCGCCTGAAGACAGCAGGGAGGTTTGCGTGTGGGAACGGGGAACACGACAGGGCGCGGCCTGTGCAGGGCGCTCATTGGCTTTGCTGCTTGTAACCCCGCGGCGCTCAGTGGCTCGTCGCGTTACTTGCCCCATACCCCTTGGACGCAACACATCACCCCAACTCCACAAACACTCGGGTCATCCCCCCCCCCACGACACCCACCAAACCGCGCCCGTCCCACCCGAGTTCTTGCCCCACGCCTCCACCGGGACGCGCGAGGCGGTGCTCATGGAGAAGGGCAGCTGGTCGCGCGTGTAGTGCATGAGCACCGCGGTCAGCACCTGCTTCCCCGTCCAGCGCCGCACCGGCTTCACCAGGGCGGGCTCGTCCAGCCACACCTCCCAGGCCCCGCTGCAGTCGGTGCACACCGCCTCGTACACCAGCTGGTGGTACTGCGCGGCGGTGAAGAAACGGTCGCGCAGCGTGAGCAGCGTGCCGGCCACGATGTGGTCCTGGATGAGGCCGCGCAGAGGCTTGCCATCGGTGGGCACGAAGAACTGGTGGTCGGCGGAGACGATGCCATACCCTTCCGCCCGACCCAGCTGGTCCTGGGGCAGGTGCAGGTTGATCTCGTCGCCGTCAAAGTCGGCGTTGAAGGTCGCGCAGTTGGCGTAGTGGAAGCGGATTGTGCGCTCGTCTGGTGGGTGGGTGGGTGTGGGTGGTGGGGAGGACAGGTGAGGAATGAATCTCTGAACCCTTGGGGTGCAGGGCAGGCTCAGGAGGGGATGTCCAAGGGTTTGGAGGGATGCGGGAGGGATGCAAAGGCAAACCACGCGCACAATGGGGGCGCGCTGACGAGCATTTCGTGACGGTATGAACACCAAACCCCACCGCTCACCCCTCATGATGCGTGCCCGGTGCGCCATCATGCCAGGCTTGTGCAGGGTTGGCTGACGGTTAGTCAGCAGCACGTCGCCGTCCTCCATGGAGCGGTAGACCACCTTGCAACCCCCAAACTCGGCCAGGCAGGGGTGCCCGGCGGCGCCGGCGTCCAGCGCGGCCGGCGCGCCGCCGCTGGCCCTCCGCGACCCGGCGATCTGGCTGTACAGCTGCCTTGCAATGCCCTCCCGAGACTGTGAGTAGGGCAAGGTGGGATTGTGTGTGTGTTTGTGGTCTGTGTGCATGTGGGAGGGGTTGAGGTCCGGGTCGAAAAGGCAACCCTTGTTGTGGGTTGCCTGCATCACAGCCTCTGGCTGCCATGGACACATGGCGGTGCGACGAATCAGGGTCCCAGCCTCGGTACCCAGCCAGTACCATCAAGTCAGCCGCCGTACCTTGGCGTCGTCTCGCAGCATGAGCAGGCGGCCCTTCTCGTTCTCCACCGCCACCGCGCCCGGGTTGCGCCCGGGGCCCGCCATCACAGCCTCGCACAGTCGCTCCACATTCCAGGGCGTGACGCGCTCGGGGAAGGTCAGGCGGGCTGCGATGTAGGGGGGCACCCCGATCTCCCCACCGTTCAGATAAACATCTGGGGAGATGACGGAGCGCGCTGCAAAGTTGACGCGCTTGCCCATCATGTTCTTGCGGAACAGGCCCTCCTTCTTCTCCAGCTGCTGGCGGATGCCCTGCTCAAGTGGAATGTGTTGAAAGGGTGGACGGTGAATGGGGAGGGTGGAGGTTGCTTTACGCATAGAACTCCTGTTGGCCAAACCTTGACGCTGAGCAGAGGGCATTCAGTAAGGTCAAGGCAGCCACATGCACGCTCTCCTCCAGCGCCCCCCCTCACACACGTACGATCGCGTTTGGCTCGTTCTCGGCGGTGGTGGAGTCGATGAAGGCGTTGACCGAGTTCTGCATCTCCAGCCAGGTGCGCAGCATGCGGCCGTCGGTGATGTCCAGGGGCTCCCCATCCTGGTCCGTCTCGGCGGCTGCAGACCAGGGATGGGGTTTATTTGTCAAGGTGTTGAGGGATGCGCGGTAAAGAACATACTTGAGCAGCCATGCCTGCACCGACAGTAACATCAGAGCTGACAAGCCCGTTGCAGGCTGGCAAGCACGCTCACCAAGGCGCTGGATCTCCAGGTTGGCATTCAGAACCTTGACCAGCATCGTGTTCTGGGGGTGCTCGTACACCTGAAGGGGGAAGGGCAGAGGAAAGCGGGGAAATGAGAACAGGACCACAGTATACCACGATGACCAGAGAGAAAACAAGTATGAACTACCGCCAATCGACACTTGGTGTTCCACAAGAAGTAAGAGGCTCTTTGCCTGTAGGATACTAAGTGCCGCCCGGCTGGCTCTCCTGCACTCCACTCACCATCTCTCCAACATGGCTGATGGGTCTGAACCTGTTGGGTGTCACGGCCACCGTCTGGATGAAGAACTCGCGGTAGTTGCCAGCCTGCAGACAGAGGAAAAGGGGAAAGGAAAGAAGGTTGGAGGGGTTGAATCAGGAGGCCACAGTCCTGGTGTGGAGAAGCATCTCGATACGTAATCAAGAGTCAGCTTCAAGAACATGTCTCGCATATTCCTTTTGTTCAGCCGCCACAGACCCCTTGCCTGGCCCTATTGCTTATTACCACCTCAGAATACAGCCAGCACATCCATCAGACCCAGTCGTCCCCATCCAGCACCTGTGCAGCAGCCTTGCCAGCCGCAGCAGCCTGAGCCTCTGAGGCCCCCTGACGCCTCTTCCGCTGAGCCACGTCTGCTGGGTAGATGAGCTGCATAATGTCGGCATTGGCCACCCATACACAACGGAGGATCTCCTGGACCTCCGCCGCCGTCAGGAATTTGGGCGGGCCGACGCTGACGCTGCAGAGGAGGAACAGGAGGAGGGGTTGGAGACTCAGCATACGACAGCATGCTCGAATAGAACATGCAATGCAATGCACTGTGAGGAACACTTGCAGCAAGCAAACTTGAGAAATGTCACAGTTGGCAAGGCTGTCAGCCAGCATCAAGGTCACGAAACGCCTGCCGGGCAACCATTCCAGGAGCAGGAGGGGTTCACATACAATATGCCAGATCTGAGTCCCAACCCTGACCCACCACACCCCACCCAGCCCTCCTCACTTGGAGGCATTCTCCTTTTCAGAGGCTGGGACCCCCTTGAGCTGACGGGGGACCTCAGCGCGGGGCAGTTCAGCGGCAAACACGCCGCCCTCGTCGCCGTGCTTGGACTCCTTGAACTCGGCCATGACCTCCTCGTCGCTCAGGCCCTCCTTCTCCTCCTTCAGGAATCCGTACCGCACCTTGGCCTCCTCCTCACAACCCTGGCTGCCGAGCCCGGCCGCCTCGTCCAGCGTCAGATTCCCGGCCTGCAGCCGGCTCAGGGAGGGCAGGATCTCCGTGCCCTGCATCTTGTTGGCCGCCGCCTTCTTGGTCGTCAGGGGGAGCAGGAACAGCTTGCTGTAGCCCTCCCTGCAGTGCGTGTGGAGTGAGGGTTGAGAAATGAATGGGCAGCACAGTTCCTTTGACAGTGGAACCCAGTTGAGCTGGGATGCTTTTACTCGGGGCCATACAAGGCGCCTAGCTGCAGGCTGTGTCACCTCCTGCAGCCGTCCAAACATGCCCGCATCCTACGCTTCCCTTCAATGAAGGGCACACAGCAAGACACCCCGAAAGCTCCCTCACCACCCCTAGGTCCCCGCCCATTCTCTAAATCCCTACAACAAAGCCAATCCAAGCTCACTTCTTGATGCTGGGGCTGTGGGCGCCGCAGTTGGCACATCGTCCTGGGGGCTGCTTCTTGAAGATCTCGGACATGGTGTCGATAGCCGCCTCCAGACTCTGCCCAGTCATTGCCACCGTGCGGCGGCTGGGCAGCGGGCCTGTGAGGGATTGGAGAGTGCATAGGGTCTGAGAGCGGATTGAGATGGGGATCTTGCGGATTCTCTCCGGCAGACAACAAAGGGAATGACCTCCAGTACTGGTCATTGCACTAGGTGAAGGCGCCTCAACTGATTGCTGGTGCATGCCATGTATAGGGGGCACCTCTCACAACAGGTGGTAGCCGTTCAGACCGGTTGGCAGACACAGGCACTCACGCCCACAGCTCCAATAAAGCCTCACCCTTAACGACGGAGGTTGGGGAGCCCTCCCCTCCGGACCCTTCGTCCAGCTCCATGCCCTCCTTTCCAGCTGCCTTCCTCGCTGAGCTGGACGCGCCCACGTTGATGCCCTGGGCCTCGGCCAACCGGCCCTCCAGCAGGAGGCTGAGACGAGCAACATATCGCTGCACCTCCTTGCTGGCCATCCGCATCTTAAAGCAGTGCAGGCAGGCGCACCTCAGCAGCTTGTACAGGGTCCTGTGTGGGCGGGAAAGGGGAGGGTTGGAGGGTGGAGGATAGAGGGTGGAGGGTGAAGGTCGGTTCTGGGGCGAGTTGGGGGGACAGAGGTGTGTGTAACGAGCGAGTGGCAGTGCAAGGCGCAGTCACTGCTCCATCCTCATGAGTGCTTCTGCAGCACAGCGCGATGATAGGATCTACACATACTTTTGCTGCCCATCAAACCCCAGACCAAACTCCTTATCTCACCCAAAGACAAGGGGGTTGTACACTGGCACCGCCAGTTCTACATGACCAAAGTGGCCCGGGCAATCCGCGGTCAAGCCGCATGTTGTGCACCTGGAAGCAGACAGGCATTGGTGGGACAGTGGGGATCAAAGCGCTGCAGAGGCTTGTAAGGTACCTTTTTCGATCATAATGCCCATCTGGAGTCGTGGGACTCCACAATCCACGCATGCTCACCTCTCTCGAGGGTCCAAGGGACCCAGGGCAGTGTCATACAGGCCACCCTCCACAGGTGTCTTGCTGTTGTCGAATATGATGGGCGAGATGATCTTCTTCACGCTGACCTTTCTTATCTGAGCGATTGTACGTGAGAAAAAGTATAGGCGTGAAGGAGAGCGCCACTCACGGAAACTTTGGCGCACATGGCCAGGCCAAAGGCAGTAGCAGTGTACCCAACTCCTCGACACGTCCCATCAGCTCGACATATACATCCCTCACATAAACCAGATGGCAAAATACGTACCTCATCGTCACTGAAGAAACCGAAGCCTACCGACCGCACTTTGGCGGTGGTGACCTCCTTGGTGTGCAAGCTCGAGTTCATGCCGTCACCAAGTCATGTCCTTTCGATGGCCGACCCGCCTGGGAGACGACACGTTTACTCTTTCACGGTCGCTCTGGCCATGCATGGAGATGTCGCGTCTCGAAATGGGCCCTTCGCCGAGCGGCGCCATGGTGTAGCCCAAGACGTCTCCAGGGCGCGAAGGTACCGCGGCTATTCGCCCGTACCCCTTTCTGAAACCGATCTGCGGATCCAGCAGTCGCGCACAAGGGCTGAGCAGCGACGGCCTACCACTTGCATGCCCTATAACTATCGATCTGTGGTGTCGGCGAACCCTCGGGACGCGAGCTGGGCCACTTGCACCACCCGGTCACCACTCTGTTGTTGCCAGACTTGGAGCTGAGCTCGCAAAGGGAGTTTTTGCTACAGCCATCTCGTTCGGCATCTCACAGCCGGCTTGTATCATGTGCTGCTACCAGTAAGATCAGGAGACGCCTGGAGGGCCCACCCCAGGGCCGGCCCGAATGGGCCCCGCCAGCTTCATTGAGCCCATAAGCACCGCTGCGCCGTCTCGTGCCGATCTGAAGCACTCCGAGGACCTTGAGCAGGTGACTTGGATAACATGGTAATGGTTGGAGTGTGATCTGAACCTGTCGATGGCCCGGCGCGCCGTGCCATCGATCGGCTGTGCATGGAAGCATGGCTCCCTGGTCGACTTGGCGCCAGGGCCAGTGCTACCACCGACGATGAATCACAGTACAACCCATCGTCCTCCCCGCAGTATTTGCGCGCCCAAAATCTGTATGAGTCCCGGGAGGAGGCCGAGCTGCGGGAGGAGGTGCTGGGCGCCCTGGACACCCTGGTCAAGGAGTGGATCAAGGGGGTTGCCGCACACCACGGCCAGCCGGTGGAGGACGCCACGGCCGTGATCTACACCTTTGGAAGTTACCGCCTGGGGGTGCACGGACCAGGTGTGCTGCTGCTGTCGGGGCTGAGCGGGCTGTACTGTGGGGAGCAGGCCTTTTGAATCGGTCATCGCAACTTTGGGCTGGTCGGCGGGGATGAGCATGTGATGCATTTCACAGTGCACCTGTGCATGGAATGAGCAGGCAGGTCCCTCTGTGTGCCGCCCCACTCAGCCCCTCGATGCCTGCACGCTGGTAGGGCCAGTGTGTCACAGTCTCAGCGTTGCCACGTCCACCCCCCCTCGCACCCACAAGACCCCTCCCAGACCCTAAAACCCTCCCCACCCCTCCCCTCTCCCCAAAAAACAAAAGGCGCCGACATCGACACGCTGTGTGTGGGTCCCAGCTACGCAACGCGCGAGTCCGACTTCTTCGGCCCCGCCCCGCACTCGCTGCAGACGCTGCTGGCCTCCGCCCCCGGCCTGGCCGCGCTGCGCGCCGTGCCGGCCGCCTACGTCCCCGTGCTGGAGTTTCGGCTGCGTGGCGTGGCCGTGGACCTGCTGTATGCCAGCCTGGCGGTCCCCGCCCTGCGCGCCGGGCTGGACGTCTCCGGCTCCGCGGTGCTGCGCCACTGCGACGACGCCAGTGTGCGCAGCCTGAACGGCTGCCGCGTGACCGACACCGTACTGCGGGAGGTGCCCGACCCCGCAGCCTTCCGCGCCGCGCTGCGCCTGCTCAAGCTCTGGGCCGCGCGCCGCGGCGTCTACTCCAACGTCACGGGCTACCTGGGCGGCGTCAACTGGGCCATCCTGGTGGCCTACGTCTGCCGACTCTACCCACGCGCTGCGCCCAGCACCGTCGTGTCCCGCTTCTTCAAGGTTGGAAGTGGGTGGAGGGGAAGGGGGGGGGGGGGGGGGGGTATAAGG